TACCAAAATCTAGATAAGTGAGTATGCTAAAGTAGTATCACTTCCCTTGTCTCCTGGTGCTGCTACCGTATTTTATTTCTCTTGATTGACATTGGAATAACTTTTCTACTTTTGTCCTAGGGATTGTATTGATAAATGTGAAAATAAAGGGATTGTAGAAAAAAGTGTAGATGGGCCTTAAGCTCTTTGGTAAGTCAATAATCTTTCCCAAGAGTACATAAAAATAAAACATTTATTTTAACTTGCTTAAATTAAAGATCAAAAGAGGTAATATCTTCGGCTTTTCTTTTCATGGTGTAGTACCTGCATACTCTTCAGAGTGTTAGGGATTCCAACTTCCAGTTTGGAAAGCAAAGCATGTTTATGATACTGTCATTAGGGGAGTATTAACCTCTGTATGCATCTAGGGTGGGTTGATTGCTTCTGTCAGTCTTTTCAGGATATGGTAGTGCAGAAATCACAATAATATTACATTTAATGACTCATTTCTTTGTATCCTAATTAAAAGAACTTGAGAATTTACAGCTGCCAAAACTTCTTTCAGTGGTTCTGTAAACGTTAGTATGAGGAAAAAACCGGGAAGATAATCTTGTCCACAGCCTTTAACTAGTGCAGTTCATGTAACCTGAAATGAAAATGCAGGTTACTTGATCAGCAGGTCCCAGAAACCTTTGATGAAAGTGAAGAGTCAAGCAAGAAGTTACGAACTGCTTGTTTTAATTTTGAAGTTGCTATTTTATTGCAAGAGTCCACTCCACTTCTGGCAGCAGCTATAGCTGACCGGAGCTTCAGGAGGCAGGACATTGATAGGGTCCAGTTCTGAACTGCAAATGATTCTTTTTAACAAGACTGAGATTTTGCATGAAAAAAAGAAAGCTAGTAACAGACATGAATGCACTGTCTATACAGAAAGAACACTGGTGTCCTGGTTAGAAATTGCTGAGGTAGCTTTTTTCTACCTCTATGTATTTTTCATGTGCCTCAGAACTTGATTTGCATCCAGCTTTCAAAGTCTAATCCACAAGGGGAAAAGAATGATGAACTTGGAAAAAAAAATAAATCCAAATCCATGTTCTCTTTGAACTAATATTAGTGAACAGAATAGAATAAATGCTTATAAAGAAACCTCTGGTAAAATTCAGGCATCTAAACTTAAGGCTGTGTCTTTAAGTTACAGTAGTTGTTTCTTAAATGTTCTAACAAAAATGTAAAAGGTTACTGCTGAAGCAGCCAGTCAGTGTTACCATTTCTTTAAAATTTCTAGAGTAGCAGTTCAGGAATTCAGGACTCATTTACCCTTGCAAGTTATCAGATGGTTGAGACAGTAGTAGAACTGATGTTGAATTGTCCAAATTCAACCGTACACATGTTATTTATCATATTCAGGAGAACTTTTACTCTGTAATCCTGAGCAGGCTTGAGATCATACAATTTGAGGCAAAGATGGAAGAATCAGATCCTGATTGCCCTGGTGCATTTCCCTCTTCCTTGGCTGCGCTGGCCCTGGTGATTGACAGACCCTTTGGGCTGTTACAGCCTGTGGATGTGGCAGAAAAGCTTTTCCCCTTCTTCCTCCACCAACTGCATTTGTCACTTTAGAAGTAGGTTTTTTACTTGGAAATGTCTTGGCAGAAGTTTCATCAGTGTTGGGGAGCCAACAGAGGGAGACTGCACAGCAAGGGGTAGAGCAGAGCTGCTTTGCATAGCCAGTTTAGCTTCCTAAAGCACTCCTGTGAGAGACTGTGAGGAATTTCAATCCTCATCCTCATTCTGAGTGGGGATGGTGATATTTCAGCATACAAATGTGTCCTCTGAGCAAGGTGTTTGGAACTGATAGGCAAAGCATTCAAAGTTTAAGTAAGTCTTAGCCTAAGTGAGATGCTTCTTAGTGTTTAAAAATTGCCTTGGTAATCATGCAGATTTTTCTATAAACTTCATTAGTTCACAAACTGGAATTCTAGGCTGGGTCACATGCACTGATTTCTCACCCTTCAACCGTCTCCACCCTATAAATTCATGGTTGTGGTCAACACTTTCAGGCCAAGTTTCTTTGAGGACCATCTGTTCAAGAGGTTTCCTAACTAAAAGTTTTTGGGAAGGCATGTTCCTGATTAACGTCTGTAGTAAGCCCTAAGATGTGAGTGTTCTGAGGAGTGCATGTGACTCTGATTTTTGTCACCAGACATTTGGAGAGGTGTGGTAAGGAACAATGCTAAGTCTTAAATTCATGTTTCGCAGTGCTCTGCCTAAATTTAACATTAAACAGTTTTGTGCTGCTAGACTGTGACTTCACTGGGGGAAATTTCTGGGCCAGTAAGGCAGTGGAAGAAGGGAAATAAATCTACCATTTTCTACTTGAGCATAGTGTTATATAAAAATTACCTGCTCTTGTTGTGGCCTAAAGAGGTGATAGAACTAAACCATGCTGTATCTTGTGCTTCCTATTATTAATTACTGTCCAGATGCCTTTACTGTTCTGTAAGAGATGCTGGTGTTCTGCTAGTGGTTTTGTCAAGCTTATATAACAACTTTATTTCAGATATAGTAGGTTATATAAGTTACTGCTTTGAATGCACGCAATGGATTACTGTAAGAGCAGCACTATTCAGCAGCTTGCAGTTCTTGCACTTATTTACCAGGATGCAGAAATGTTGCATTGGTTTCTATAAGCAGAGACAACCGTCTAGTTTCAGTGTTTGGGCCAGTGGAGATGCACAGGAATGGTTTTAGAAGTAGACATGGCCCAGTTCATGTGGCATTAATAGCATTTGTTTAGTTCTGTTTATGGCAACTGGTCACAAAGTGGTTAACTTCACTGTTTAAAAAAGTGTAAATTAAGTTTGTTAGATAAAATTTAAAACAGGCTTTACCATGCTGTTGTATTTTATGTGAAGATGGATCCTACCTTGGGTAGCTGTGCCATGCTTTATTTTTTAGGTGTGTGAGATAAATGCGAACATGGATGTGTTCCTGGTTGTAATGATGGGTCTTCATAGTTTTGCATTTGATTGTAATATGTATATGTGACAATACTTGTCTCCTGCCTTTGCATATTACCTTCAAGTCTAAATTTTTGATACCTTCCATTATGATACCGTCATCACTTCTGTGTGACAGAGACACATTAATGTGGCTGAATTATTGCTGAATGTAAGCTATTCCTGGATATAGGAAAGTCAGATTTAAATGGACTTGGACCTCATCCAGTCAGTTGATTCTTTTAAAATTATTTTAAGGAAAGAACTCCTGTGTGGTTTTTTTTGTTAGTGTTTTTATTTGGTTTGGTTTGGTTTTTCCCCCTTTATTCATAAGGAAACACCTAATCTGTGCTGCAGATAGGACCAGTTAATAAACCATCTGTACCACTAAGTGAAAGTCATTCTTTAAACCAACTTCTCTATTCTGGTGGAGCACCCTTCACAGGATATGCTTTAATATGTTCACTGCAAGTATCTTGTTAATTTTGATTACACTAGTGTTTCTAGTTTACCATGTAATCCAGCTCTAGAAACCAGCTGTTCCAGTGCTAAACAATAGTATTTAGACTGTGAAGTTTTCAAACAGAAAGTGGAGTAGAGAAATAACAGAAAGACATCCTTGCAAGGGGAATAATAAAAGTGGGTTTCATTTGGATAGTTCTAAGAATGGAAGTCTGTAGATAGTGTCTTAAGAATGTGTAAACTCTTCTGAAAGTGCATTAAGCTAAGTGGGCTTCTTTCTTTGTTTCTGCATGACATAAGTGAGGAAGTAATGTTCTCTCCTTTTTGGAACTCTACTTCTGAACATAAGTACACACTTAAAATGCAGAAATAATAACCTAGGAAACTTCAGTAAAACAAACTTAGTCCAGGTAGCTGGTTTCCTTTTTCTGCTTTATTTAATCACTTGACTCACAAGGGGTTAGCAAGTCTATCAGACATGCAGACCTGAAGGTCTACAGATGAAGAATGTGTGTGACCTTTGAAAGAATTATGGCCAGTTTGTAACATTGAACTTCATGTGTCTGTTGGTTACTAAAATAACCTGAGAAATTATCTTTAAGGTCCTTTCTGACCCAAACTATTCTTTGATTCTGTGACCTTTAGATTGACAGGGACCATCTCTTAAATCATCTGCAAAGATCAAAAACCAGCTTTAAAAACACAGCTCCTTATCTTTAACATGGAAGGTGTAAGTTAAATTATTCTTCTCTTTGGCAGAATACTTGAAACACTTCTGATTTTTTTTTTTTTTTTGCTGAAGATGCATTTGTGACAAACTGTGATAGAAATGCTTCTCAGCCAAATACTGGGTAGTCACTGACCTGAGTTAATAAACATTCTACTAATTTTGCTACCCTTCTTAGTTGCTAGTACTTATTTATTTTCTTAAATGGTGACTGAATGCTGTCTTAATGCAGGTTGTTCCTTTGGAAGCCTGTATGTAGTCTGTATTGCTTTTTCCAAGTTAGCCTGTTTTCAAATTGAAAGTGACTGAATTCTTTGCAGACTTATGCTGACATAACTGGCATTCTTAATGCTTGTTAGTTTACTTCTGTGCAGGTTTGTGGATAAATCAGATGTTAATATAAGAGTGTAGTTATGAGGATAGGAAAAAACTTACTACAGAAAGCTCTAGCAATGGGTATTTTAAATCTTCTAGATCCGAATATATCACTTCATGGGAAATTGCTCATAGTTTATAAAAAAAGTCTGGATTTGTGTTAGATTTCAGTCCAGTGCAGATTTATAAAGGCAATTTCATTTCAGTGAGCCAGTGAAGTTTCTTGGAGGGGAGTGTTTAAAGTTGGTTTAAAAGTAAGTCTTTCAGATGACAAGCTGCTTTTGAATTTGTTTTCAGTGTATGCTCTACTGAACTGACACTTCTTCCTAGCAAGTTGTTTCCTTCCTCTGTTTATGTGTTGTACTTGGTGCAAAACAATCCTTAGTATTCATTCATGCAGTTGTTGAACTATTGAACAGAACGTGTTAACAGTATTACATTTTTTTTTGTCGTTGTAGGAAGAAATCTGCTTCATCTAATTCAATGCTAATTCAGTCCTGCTAATCTGCTAATACTGTAGATTGAAAGATTTTTTTGCTGTTGCCAGGACACCCTGTAATGGGCAAGGAGCCTGAGAGAATACAAACGTTCTGATTTTTTAACTTTTAAAAACTTTTGTGTTTAACAGGTAAGAAACTATTCAACTTCACCTCCAACAATAGATTTAGCTTCTGCATCTATAAAGCTTTATTCTTAAGCATTCAGAAACCACTTAAATTTCAAGTTTTTCATGTCCCTGATGTCCTCTAAAGTCTTACCTGATTTCTGAACATTTGCCACCTTCGAAGCTGCAGTTCCTTCTGCAGTTCAGGCTTTGTGGCCATTTCTTATCTTTTCTAGCAGCTTTTTTCAGACTACGTTCTAGCTGGCTGGTTCTGACTGTCTTTTAATCCACCCTGCTGTTGCACTATCTTCTTTCTCCACCCTGCTTTGGCTTACTATGACAATCAAGGGTCGGCTAGACACACTGTTGTGGATATTCTGTTTGTTTTACAGTGTTTTACTTTTGTGCCAGGAAGTGTATCTGCTACCCGGCCTTCTTTGGAGGAGTCTCAAAGCAAATGTGTTCATGAACTGACATATATTAGGTATGAGTGATGTTTAGCACTACAGGTTATTATATTGAAGTACAGTAATACTGTCTTCTGCAGTTGAATTTTTTGTACTGAACTGCATGTTTCGGTGGAAAAGTATCTTCTGGGTTAGCTGTGCATTGTTTAGCTTGCTTTTTATATTATTATGGAACTGTGTGTTTTTTCTTGGTGCGTAGATATCTTCGTTTCCATTTTGAAGCTAATTGGGAGAATTCAGAATAGGAAAAATCTAACTGAATTCTTTGACCAGTGAATATTTTAAATATGTAATTGTTTGGCAGTTATTACTAAAAAATGATTCATTTTCTTTACTGATTTGTAGTTAATACAGGTAATTAAGATCTGTATGTAACACTTATTAACCTGTGGTTTGAGATAGTGTGAGAATTGACAAGGATATACTTGTTGCTTGGTATAAAATTACTCTTGTAACTTCACAGCAGGCTGTAGATTTCAACTGAGTTTTGTACTTCTGAACAGTTATGACCTCTTGAATTTTGGGGGATTGGTGTCTTTGATTTTAGTTTGGACTTACATACTTCAGCATGTCAAAGCTATTGATTATAGATTATGGGGCCGTTTGGTCATAATAGGGGGATGTTTGTGTATGCACATGATGTGTGTGTGGAGATATAAATATATATATATATATAGTAAAACGTCACAGGATTACAGAATAGTTAGGGTTGGAAGGGACCTCTGAAGATCATCTAGTCTAACCCTTTTGCCAAGGCAGAATCAGGTAGAGCAGGTGATGTAGGAACGTGTCCAGGTGGGTCTTGAATGTTTCCAGAGAGGGAGACTCCATGACCTCTCTGGGCAGCCTGTTCCAGTGCCCTGCTAGCTCAGTGTAACGAAGTTCTTTCTCATGTTGAAGTGGAACTTCTAGCATTTTAATTTATGACTGTTATTCCTTGTTCAGTCACTGGGCACCACTGAAAAGAGTGGCACCATGCTCTTGGCACCTGACTTTGAGACATTTATATGTATTGGTGAGATCCCCTTTTAGTCTTTTCTTCTCCAGACTAAACAGGCCCTGCTCCCATAGTCTTTCCTCACAAGAGATTCTCTAGACCCCTCATCATCTTTGTGACCCCCAGCTAAACCTTCTCTGGTACCTCCTTGTCTGTCTTGAACTGTGGAGACCAGAACTGGACACAGCACTCCAGATATGGCCTCCCTAGGGCTGAGTAGTGGGGCAGGATCACCTCCCTGGACCCGCTGGCCCACACTCCTCCCGATGCACCTCCTGGCCACAAGGGCACACTGCTGGCTTGTGGTCAACTTGTCATCCACTGCATCCACGCATCCAAATGCGTGTTTATTGTTCTTACCTAGGTAGAAGTGCAGCTAGTGTGCATAAATGTGGAGGAGTGTTAGGTGGGTTGAGGGCCCCTTTTTGTTTCCCTGCTGCTGCTGCCCCTTGGGCACAGGGCCTGCCCTCGACCTCGCCTCATGTGCCTGAGTTCCAGCCTGCTCTTATCCCGTGTCTGGGGTCCCCTGGATGAGATATTGGCAGCAGTTTTGTAGGAGGATCAGGGATCCTTGGTAACCTCCTACTGTGCAGTCCCCTGTGCCCAAGAAGCTGAGAGACGATGAAGCATCCAGAAATCCCACAGTGAAGCCAGAGGTGCAGCCAGCCTGCACAAGATCTCCTAGCTTTCCATGAAAGAATTCTTTGTCCATTTTGTTTCCATTATGGTATCTCTTCTAGTTTGCTATGCCCTTGGAATAGGAATGTGCATGGTGTTAGAAATATGTATTAAACTATTGAGGTAGAAGTGTTTGTATTTTCTGTTCTATTTAATTCCTAATAATTTCAAACCATCTGTTGTCTCCTTTCTCCACAAAGTTTCTTTGAAACGTCACTAGTTTGTAATAATGTAAGTAATGAAGTATTTCTCAAAATTTAATTTCTGTGATGTCTCTCATTTGTGATGTGAACATGCTGTTCTGACACCGAAGAAGCAGCTACATCTTATTTTGCATTCACTTGAGAGTTGCATTCTAAGTCAAATTGATCTTATATTTTGCTTAAGAATTGTAGTGACTGTAGCATGAAAATTCTCCTGTATAATTGCTTTTATTCTTTTGTAATTGCTAGGTGTATTGTAAAGTACTGTAACTAAATCTATGGACTTTGAACAGCAACTTACAGCTTTTTAGCTAATAACACTCAATAAACGTGACTTCTTTGATTGAAAATAAATTTATTTAGGTTATTGGGTAAGATATAGATGATGTTTTATTACTTGAAATATTTAGAAATAAAGCTAAGAATAGTTAAGAGCAGAGTCTTCACACTACTTAAACATACTATTTTGGGGAGATAAATTAGATAAAGAATTCCTTATTTTTCCTTTGAACTCAATGCAAAAGAAGCAGTATAAGTGTGTTGCTATATAGGAAAGATTTTTTTGCATTTATAAAGTGGAAAAGTGGGAAATTCAATTACACATAACTATGTCTTGCTGTAAATTACCATTACTTTATGGAAAAGAATTGTTTTGGTTCAGATCTTTAAGCTAGAATGCAACTGTCTTCTCTTTTTGCATTATTTGCTCTCAATTTCAGAGTAAATGCCTAAGTGCTTAATATTCCTGTTTAATAGTTCATGGGCTATTTAATGCCATGAAGAGTTGTGCCCCAGCCTGCAGAGGACAGGCACTTGTAGACAGAAAGTTTGCAGAGAGTGATGCTCTGGCTGGGTGCAGTAGGCCATTTAAAAAGTAGCCGCTGGTGTCTCTTTGTCATTTTGGGTCACTGGTAATTCTGTTTAGCTCTAAATATTTTTCAGACGTGCATTCATGCTTAGTTTGGTTTTGGACAGATGGTCCACTTTCAGTGTCAAAATAAGCACTTCTTTAAAGCTAACACAATGTCCTTATTATGGTCCATTGACTGGAGAAAGGAAAAAAAAAATCCTTAAAACTGGAATCTTAACCAAGTAGACCTAGAGAGTTAATTAGTTGAGGTAATGTGAAGCTGGCAGAAGGGCATGCTTGGCATTTAAAGTAAAACTTAATGTGTTTAAAGGTCTTAGAAGATAAATTCTGATGCTTTTATCATGAAAAATGTTGGTAAATTATCTTCACCATTACTTTGTTTTTCCTCAGACCATGGAAATGTTTGTGCAAAAGTATCTGATTATTTGTTGGTTGTTCTTTTTTTTTTTTTCCCCGTTTCTGCACTTGAACCCTACAGTAAGAAAATATAGTGGTACACAAAGAAAAATGACAGGTTTTGAGTTTGTTTTTTTTATAATGCAATTATTGTTACAACTCTATAGGTAGTATTTCTCAGACTTTCATATATTACAAAATTTTCAGCTTAACATGGGTACACTCAAAGCTTCTCTTGCTTGAAAAATGAAACTGGGTATTGCAGGAAAATCTGTGAAGATCCTACCAGAAGCTCTGTGTATATTCCTTTAACATATATATATATATATATATCTGTCAGGGTAAAACAGCCTTCAACTGGCTACTGAGGTCCTTCTAGTTTTCCTTCTGAACTGGTCTAGATGACCCTGTCTGCTTGTAGCTACCAATACTCAGCTGCTATGTGGAAGTATGAGGTACCAAGTTAGAAGTAACTCACTGTAATACGTTTCTCATGTTTGTTTAACCTAAATATGATGCTTAAGAGTTTAACTCAAATGAACAGCTTTAGTTTTCTTATTTACTGAAAAGACTTCTGGATACCTTAAAGACTTGTTGGTCTGTTTTGTAAAACGTTTAGTATAGGAGACGTTGTCCAAAATTAAACCATATGCCTTTCTGACTGGAATTCACATCTTAGTCTGGTAGCTTGAAAACATGAATGTCTATATTTTGGAAAGGTGTTTAAGAGCTATTATCATATGAAGTTACAGAGAAACTTACTGTTAAAAATACACGGAGTGTCGTTTATTGTCCTGTAGTAGGCAGAAGACTTCGTTTCGATTTTTGGTCTGAAAGGATTGTTTCTAAGCTTTATTTCTTCCCTTTAGTAAATAATACAAGTGAGGATTTCAGTTACCTGTATGGCAGCAGTTGACAGGCTTTCTTTGCCTTGTTGAACTGCTTTTTTCCTTTCAGATATAAGTCAAGTGTTTACTCATGGAATGTTATTCAGCATTCATTCAGAGAAGAATTTGTTCACAATGTTAACCATGAAAACAAAGCAATATTTTTTCTGGATATTAAATGTTACTTAGGATCTTGAGTTCTCATAAGTTGTACATCTGCAAGTTGATGTAAATGTTTGTAAGTACTGTTTAATGAACTGGATGTCAGTCTGGCTTACTGGAAACTTTCAGAGACTGTGGAAAACTAGCTGGAGTTACAAAAGACAGATACACAAGACAGCTTTACCATCTCTACACATTTCTTCTTTCCACATCTGAGAGTTTTTAACATTATCCTGGACTGTTTTGCTTGTAGTATCTGATCTTGAGCACATCTCATATTTGGTAGTCTTTTGTATCTTGCATTAAATCTAGTTGTGGTTTTCTGTTCATATTGACGGTGAAGTAACATTGGGAGTACCATAAACGTTTTGGTCTCTGGAGTTTTTTGTAATTTTGCAAGTAGTGAGATTCTGGGAGGAGCACACTTTTGATTTGTGGACAAAAAGCTTAATTCCAGCTCCGTTAATGGGACTGAAATTTGAAAAAGGATGATGATGATGATTTAGAATTTCAGAATCGGTAGATTTTGGGGGGGAGGGTAAAACAGTAGGCTCTGAGAAAAATATCAATAACATGTTTTGGTTTTAAAACTTCCATTCAGCACTGTGATAGGCTGATTCTAGAATACTACCAGTGACAATGCCTAAGAAAGTTCTCTTCAGGGTTCCTGGATTTCCCTTTGGCATAGTTTATGTTGTTTATTTTTCCTTATTTCAAGGGACCTGGGCTCCTGTTGAGAAGTGATGGAATAATCTTTGGCCGGCACCTGACATGTTGAGGGAGCAGCCCCTAAAAGAGCTTTCCTGGGAGACAGTTTGTGAAATAACGCAGTAACATGTTTGCAGTAGTATGCCTCTTTTTTTGTTGTTGCTATTTTCCATTGTTGAATTTCTCTTGAAATAAATGACTGAGAAATCCATTGAATACTACTGAAATGAGCGTTAATCACTACAGAGGTATTTACGTCTGAAATTAGTGCTGGTAGTGGTTACTTACAAGGATGATACTTTCACTAATTGGGGCAAGGGGAGGGATTTGATCTACTTTCTAGAGGTTTAAAAATCCCAAGGAAATAATATCCCGTGACTTTAATAATGCACTACTTTCACTTGCTTACAGTACGTTTGTGTGTAGCCCGAATACCCACAAGCTGATGTTTTTCATAACAACTGTATAATTTGATTTAAGCTAATTTGTGAGATCAGGTGTATTAAACCCTTCTTGTAAGTTTACTAACACTTGTAGTACAAAATTTTTTTCTGCTTCTAAACTGCTTAATTCTTGCGTGGGATCTCAGATAATTAGAAGTGCTGATACTGCAGTTGAATATCTCTGTACATTTCCTGATTGATTTTATTTTACTCCCATATCTTTAAACAGAAAACTATGTAATCTAGGGGCAATTATGTGTGTTACAACTTCTGAAGTAAGGTGGTATTATGTGATCAGTATGTAGTGGTTAAAGCAACAGTGAAAACCCTACAAGCAATTAGAACTTCTCCATAGTGATTATACCAAGCTTTTCAATATTTAGCCTGAATACTGGAAGTCTTGCTAATTGCTGCTTCCAATTGTAAGGACAGGAAAGTTTTTTCTTACTGTTTTCTAGTATCTCTTTTCAATCCACTTAAAATCTGCATTCACTGGAGACCAGTTAATCCTCCTGTGTCAGAGGTCAAGTGTCATGTAAAAGCCCTCCTTTGGGGGTGTGAGGGGAATGAAACAAATGCTTATACTGAGCTTAATGAGAGGTGAAAGCAGGAATTTATTGGATATATTGTAGACTGATTAGACTCTTTTCTGATAGCACAGTTGTCCCAGTAGTAACTTTGCAAGGTGACTTAAAAAAACAGCATTAACACAGAGATGCCAAAGCATTTTATAGGAAACGGTGAAATTGCACATCCTTATGCATCTCTGTTAACAGCTTCTTACAATGTTTCAATGGTTGGGGCCACTGTCCTTTGACGTGTTTGTGTAACACATTTTGTTGTCCTTTATTGTTCCTTCTGTGTCAAGTTTGTGGAGACAGGGACAATGAGAGTAAGTGTTGAAATTAACTCCTGCACTTTGATGTGTGCTGCCTAAAAGTTTAGCTTACTCCTTTGTAGGTTTCTTCAGCAGTGGGGGTGGTACTGTAGAGCAGTTATGCACTGTCCACTTTATCTTCTCCCTGCTCTGTTAATTGCTGAGCAAGTCGTTCTGAATCTGAGATCACAGATTAAAAACAAAGATTGGGAAAAGCAAATTCTATAAATTGAAAACCAAAGTTACAATCTTTTCTTTAATACAAACTAGCATGTTCCTTTTGTGTAAGTAAAACCGTGCCTAACTTTATCTTTGGATGTTAGAATAATGGCTATTGCTAATGTACTGCTATTCTTCTTACACAGACCAGCATGTTTTGGAAATTTGATCTCCATTCGTCATCGCACATAGATACACTTCTAGAGAGAGAAGATGTAACCCTGAAGGAATTGATGGATGAAGAGGATGTTCTGCAGGAGTGCAAGGCTCAGAATCGCAAACTTATAGAGTTTCTGCTGAAGTCAGAATGTTTGGAAGACTTAGTTTCATTTATTATTGAAGAGCCACCTCAAGACATGGATGAAAAAATTCGATATAAGTAGGAAAACTTTTGGGATGGGAGGGATTTGGAGGGTGGAAAGAGGACTAACTTATAACTTAGTTAATTTGATAGTGTGTAGTACAATGCTGCTATCTTTTAGAATAAGTTTGTTTTCAAGAGACTTCGTGGAACTTAAATAAATAATTCTAATATTTGCATACTTTTCAAAGGGAAGCTTGTTGTCCACAAATGCTTCTAAAACCAGTTGCTGTCCAAAGGAGACGCAAAAAAAAGTCCAGCCAGAACTCACATGAAGAGTCTTATAGTTGTGATTAATAAAATAGTTAAATGAAAATCCCATTTTGTGTAGTATAGTTCTGTGATTAGCTTTGTTTTATTGATTGGTAATATGTTTTGAAGATGCTTATTGGAAGATCTGTAGTACTCCTTGGAAGAATGTACTTAAGTACTTAAGTGTACTTAAGTACACTTGCTGATGTTTTCCTGAGTATGACTGTGACTTCAGCTGGCTTGCTGAGAAGGTTCAAGCTCAAAAGTCCATCTGGCAATTCGTATAAAAGTACTTCTACTGCTTCTGACCTATTTTACTGTAGTCCATGCAGAAAGCTACTTTTTTTCTTAAAATGGTGTCGTAAAAAAGAATGTGAAATAAGCTACACTTTCAGTTGCAGAACTTCACCATTTCTAGTAAACCAAGCCTCCTCTAAGTGTTTCTAGTAGAGTTTGAAATTTAGGCATCTTTCACTTAATAACCTTAAGCTACCTGTGTTGTCTAAAGGAGCCTTAGTGTGAGTGGGTGATAGTACTGTCAAATACAGGAAATTACTGGTGTTTATTGCCTTGTAGTTTAATTACTCAGTGCTCTGAACTGTACTTCTGACTGTCATGAAGCTAGTCAGTAGCTAGTTAGTAGCTAGTCAGTCACTAACTAGTAGCTAGTTTTGCAGAATGTCAGGTTTTGACCAGTTTACTGACTTTAAATATAATCGCCATGTATATTAGAAAATCCTGAAGATTGCCTTTTGGCCTTTTTAATATAATCCCTTTATATTAGAAAGGGGGAAACATTTCTCTCTCCCCACAGTTGGCCCAGTACCATCAGCCTGCTTTAACTCCTTGATAACTTTCTTCCCTTTGAAAAAAAAGTGGCTTCTGAAATGAGAGATCAGTACTTGAACAGATGGGTTTAGTAATAGATCTTAAAATAAAAACTTACTCTTTTCTTTCCCCACTTCCTTACTGGCATTCTGTTGCTACTGAAGAACAAAGTAGTCTGTTTCTTGAAGGAAAACAGAGCTTGTAGGCTGAATGTGCAGTTTTGTTACTCTGTGTTAGTTTGCCACTCTACTGCACACCAACCCTGCTTGAAAACTTGGTCAGAAGCCTTATCATCCAGAACTGGAAGTATGACAGCTCTGAAGTGTGAGTGACAGATAATTCTTGTTCTTTCCCCAGATACCCAAACATATCGTGTGAGCTGCTTACATCAGATGTCTCACAGATCAATGATCGGCTGGGAGAAGAAGAATCCTTACTCTTGAAACTGTACAGCTTCCTCTTAAATGAATCTCCTCTAAACCCTCTACTGGCCAGTTTCTTCAGCAAGGTGTTAAGTATTCTTATAAGCAGAAAACCAGAACAGGTAATTATTTACAAACTCACCAATTTAACAAGTACTATTCTGCTTTAACACTGCATGTTTGAGGGATATCAGCAGAGTCAAAAGAGAACCTTCAGCTTCCATACTGGCTGAAGATGCTTTCTTATTGTGCACAGGATTAAAAAGTACACTTGGATGAGTAAGATGTATGTGATTCAGATTTGCCTGAGCTATTTATATAATCTGTGTGTGAGTGCTTACCTTTTGGCTTAGCTTAGCTCAGTGATATGATATTTGTACTAATTGCTGTTAGAGGCAAAGGTAAATGACTTGAATCAGTGAGAGTGGGTCTGAGTTGGTGTGAAGAATTATTATAGAACAAGGTGAGAAATGTTTGGATTCCTTGCTCAGAAATGCTGTTGTATTCTGTTCATGTGGCAAACGGCTGCAATGGCTTGCCTTTCAAACCTGAGATAGTCTTTGTATTATGTTAAGGCTTTGCTGTGTTGAACTTTGCTCACTAAGCTGGGATGAGAGTAATTCATATCAAAAATTAAAACTGATTCTGCACTGAATTGTAAGTAGATTATGGTCAGCAAGTTGAGCTTGAGAGGAGGCCCAGGACATATGCTGCATGTAGTACGGATCTGCCCTGTGCCAGTTTTGCTACTCTCTGTGTGTATTATTTTATCTTGCCTTGTACTGTAAGCTTTAAGTGGCAGAAGTTCTCATATATTTTGCCTGTTTGGTCGGAGAGAGAAATTAAAAGTGGTTGGTGTAATTTATCATATAAAATACAGAGAAGCAAATCTAAACTTACTTCTTCATTTCCAGATTGTGGATTTTTTAAAGAGGAAGCATGATTTTGTAGACCTCATTATTAAGCACATAGGGACCTCTGCTATCATGGATTTGTTGCTCAGGCTACTGACTTGCATAGAACCTCCACAGCCCCGGCAAGAAGTGCTGAATGTAAGTAAAATTCTCAGAATTTTTGTCTGACCTATGAACTGTAAGATGGCTTATCTTCTGATGGTGTTTCTAAGTTTATTTCTTAAGTGTGCTGAAATTAGATGTGTGGTGTTTTGTTTGGTTGTGGGGTTTTTTTGTATGCTTTGATCTGACAGTACTTTTCCAGTGGAACCCCTGTGCTGGTGGGGACAACTTAGAACTCAAGTGGCTGGTCTCTTCCCCAGTCTTTAATATCTAACTTAACAACCGACAGATGCAATTTTAAGCACAAAAGTTTTGTGCTTTACCTAATGTTCTTTTTGCATCAAAGTTTATTTTAAAATTATACCCAAGGCTTTCTTTTTTACTGTGGCTCAGAACCACTAATTTTACTTTTTCCTTTTTTTCTGAAGTATTGTTAGTCCTTGTTTAGAAGTACTGACCGTATGACTTGGGGCAGCTGTCAAAAGTCTACTTTCAGTTTTGTAAATTCATTTAATTAATTCATTTGGAAGAAATTCCTACTAACATCCACAAATACTTTTACAGTGGCTTAATGAGGAAAGAATTATCCAGCGGCTTGTGGAAATTGTACACCCATCTCAAGATGAAGATGTAAGTATTAGTCTGACACTCTTCTGGGTCTATCTGTTCAGCTGTATAACATGGTGTTAGAAGTTTCAGTTTTACTGTTTTCTGCTTGCTTTTTTCAGTAAGCTGGTTTCAGTATTTGTGTGGTCATTTGAGGGAGGGTGTGTGGTTTTATTTGCCTCCCTGCCCCCTTTTTGAGATCCATATCAAAGCCTTATGCATACTTGGTGTTTGAAGATTCAGCTTTAGTGTTTTGCCAGCTTAATACTGGAAGTAGATTCTTGCCTCATGTCTCAAGGTTATTTTTGTCTTGTTAAGGCTTAGTTATGGCAAGAAGCTTCTGCTTGAATGTTTTTTGGTTAGGAAGGACTCTTGTCAATGTTGAAACTTTCACCTTTTTTAATTGAAGAATTGCAGTGGAGCATGTTGTTACTCTTGTAGTGAAAAGTGATGTTTTTCTGTTTCAGAGGCATTCAAATGCATCACAGTCACTCTGTGAAATTATTCGTCTAAGCAGAGACCAGATGTTACAAGTACAGAACAGCTCAGAACCAGATCCACTGCTAGCAAGTTTAGAGAAGTAAGTTGGTTTGAATTTCTGATTTAATTCTCACTTTGTAAAATACTAGTTTTTACCTTTTGAACTTGAAAACCTTCAGAAAGGGCAAGCTCTACTTTTCAGATGAATTTTCTTGACTACCCGTCATCTGTTTGTGTAATTTAAAACAACTGGGCAAGTAAGCAGAGCCCCTCCTGGAAGACTTTCTTGTGGGGGTGTGGGGAAGTTGTAATCTCATTAAAATATTTTCTGTGCTACCCAATTTATTGGGATCTCACATGTGGAGGTCAGCTTGATACTGTGCAGACTAAACATGAGAGATTTTGACTTTGTTCTGTTACTTGCTTTAAGTTAATCTAAGTGTATGTTTCTGCCAGAGCAGATTCTCCTGTATTCCCTTCTGCCTTTTGCTGGTTATAAGTTTAGGTATGTGTGGCTGTTATGGCAAGCTGAACCAGGTTTTTGATCTGACTGAGAACTTCCTTTTTTTTTTTTTTTTTTTTTTGGTCAGATCAAAAAACTGGATCAGTGGAAGGAATCAAAAAATATGATTGAGACACTGAGAATGGGAGTGATTGTCCTAGTGATACCTGCTAGCTTGAAATGGCTACTAGTTTTCTTGGTATTATCCCCATATTAATTTTATGTGGGTAAATGTTAACTACTTCTACTGACAGCTGTATCCTGAAAGCAGTGTTATCTGATGCCAATGCTTTTCTTTTCAGACAAGAAATCATAGAGCAGCTCCTGTCTAATATTTTTCATAAAGAAAAAAATGAATCTGCAATAGTCAGTGCAATCCAAATACTATTGACCTTACTTGAGACAAGACGGCAGACGTAAGTGTTACTATTTCACTTCAATTGTGCCTGCAGTAGCAAGTGTCTTTCATGTACTTGTGACCAAACCATTTATGTGCCTGTTGTAGCTGCAGGAGTAAAATGCAAGCCAAGTGACTGTGGTTGGCACTGCAACACTTTAACCAAATGACTGGTCTTTCTGCACTTTTTTTCTGAAAGCTAATTTAAGTACCACTGGACAGATCAGACTAATTACATTTCATCAGTTTATTTCTGGATACAAGGAATAGAGTAAATATGTATAGTGCCGTGAGTGAGTATTGACTTCTTAGAAAGTTATTTGTAATGTTGTTACAACTTCAGTTGGAGAAACTGCTGAACAGATCTTTCTGGTACGTGCAGCTTAGGTTTGGGATAGCCAAATGAAGCTATTCATCTGCCTCAAAGAGCAAAAAGAACTGTAATTTTTAATCTCAAAACTATTCTAGAGATTTCAAGCACAATTAACCTAAAAATACTAGGGCTGAAGTTTGGGAAAATCTTGTTCAGCCATTACCTCACACTTAATTTATATGTGTAACCCTATGTTTTTGCGTTGTTTGCCTCTTCATTCTTTTCACATTCTTTCAGAACTGTTACATACCTCAGAGATGTTTTATAGCTTGTTTTGATATTAATTATTAATTATCAGATCCTGCTTGTGTGTTTTAGATTTGAAGGCCATATAGAGATCTGTCCTCCAGGCATGAGCAATTCCACATACTCTGTCAACAAAAGTGTTTTAGAAGCCATAAAAGCACGACTTTCATCCTTCCATGAGCTCCTACTTGAGCCTCCAAAAGTAAGTGACCAAAATTAATTGAGGCAAGACTGTCACTGTGTGCTTGCGTTTTAGGCAGACTATAATAAAAAACAAAGCTCAGTCTGACAACGTTCAGGCAGGTGCCCAGGCTACTTCCTAGCCAGTTGAGCTTTGGCTTAGGCAAACAAGAATAATGAACAGTAATGTATTGTGCTAATTGATATGCTTTTCCGGCATAAACATTGTTTAATTAGCAGAGTAGTCTTGAAGAATTAATTCTTTCTGAAAGCAATCAAAAAGGATTTTATATATATCTTTTCATATAGATTTATATAGATTTTTTAATATACATATATATATACACACAGATATATATGTATATATACAAATTCTGAAGGTGGGTCCTTTTTTCTGTTTGGAAATCCTATTTCGATAGGAAACACAGACCATGGATGCTTCAGTTGTTCAGAACTTTGAAATGACCCACATTAGGCCTGCACAATTCTCTAATCTTTCCCAGGACCCAAGTAGACCAGCTCCACTGCACATCTGTGCACTCCAGGCATGATAAATTCCTTGGGCTTTTTAACTGATTTAAACAACTTATTTATGCCTTGATCTTAAAAAAGATTACAAGTGTGTAAATAAATGGTATACCTATGATCCATTTGTATTTTTCACTCACATTTTCACTGGCAGAATTTCAGCTGGAGCATGATACCCTGAACTGAGTGCCCCAGTTTTTAACAGAGAGGGACCTGTGAGCTGAAGTGCTCATAAAGACCAGAGGTGTATGAAAATACCTGATAGGAGTCAAGGTAGTGTTCAAGTTTATTTTAGCCTGGAAAAGATAAAAACAGTTTATGAATGCAAAAGAGGTAATAAAATGCAAAGAAACTGTCCTGTTGCAGCAGCATGGCAATATACAGGTCTGTATTATGTAAAAGCAGGGTTGCATAAGATACTTGAACAATTTGTGATGGTTGGACTTGGCATTTGAATAAGTCAGCTAGTGAAGTTGCTCTTTTGGACACTAATTAAATGAGCATCCTGAGATATTTGCCTGCTTTAAGAAATAGACTGATCATTTTCTGATGCAAGGGTGGCACTGGTAAGGCAGCAATATGACATCCAGGGTTACAGTAGGCAGTACTGGTCTCCTTCTTAACATGTGTTTGTCTTAGGCTAGAGAGACGTTTTCGTTATGAATTCTCCTGTTCATTTCACATTTGCTACAGATTCTTCTTACTGGCTGGCACCAGTTCCAGTTTGTTAACCAGCTAAAATTAGAATAGGACACCAGAGATGCTGGTTGCTTAATGAAATTATTTACAAGTATATGAAGTTAGGGTTGCTGAGGCATTATGATAAATTTAGAGACTGTCCACCTGTTTTGTGTATGTTGTAGCAATGTAGACTACAGCTGGATCAACTAGTGGGAATCATTTCTTAGGAACTAGCTCCGAATTTAGTGTTGAGTAGACTTCATCTCCTTTGAGATCCTCTGTGTAGTTAACAATAATTTTTACAAAGTCATTTTTTTCATGTGGCTGGTTTCAGTGCTTCCTGTCTATGGAATTAAAATAAGTGATAGTGTTTGGAATTAAAAGTAGTTTTTTGCAGGGTGAAGGTAAGACAGCTGTTCAAGGACTGATTTTATTTTTAAGCACTACTCCATCAATTGTTTGTAGTAATGATGAGCTGATTTTTTTAAAAAGTACATTTTAATGGGTTTTATGTATGTACCTTTTTTCTTTTCCAGAAAAGTGTCATGAAGACAACCTGGGGTGTACTGGATCCACCTGTGGGAAACACACGTTTAAATGTGATTAGATTAATATCTAGCCTTTTACAGACGAATACAAGCAGTGTGAATCAGGAGCTTATAGAACTTAACAGCATAGGAGTAATACTGGTAAGAACTTAATGCTGTCTTCTTTATTTTTATGGATTGCTATTAGGATCTTCTCTGAATGTTCTGTCACTGCAGAAAATATTCCAACCTAACTTTTCAGCACATTTATATTGTGATTACTATTGCTTGGTTTAAGAACTTTTAAAGTTGGATTTTACTGTTAAATTAATCTGCCTGAAGTCAGTGTTTTCCTATGATCACTTAAATGGTTCTTGTTTGCTACACCTTTATAAATATATGAAGTGGTTTTCTTCATAAGCTTATTTTTACTTGTATGTTCTCAAGTTTTCAGCCATGTTCAAGGCTTCACTGCTGTTTTCATTTTTTACCTAAGTTATTCCCTTCAAAACCCACTTTCCTCTCTTAATTTATGGCCCACCAAGTGGTATCTCAGCACTGTCCTATAAAGGAATGGTTATTCTTGGTAGTTTGTAGCCTTCAAACCTCAAAGCAAGGTGGTGCACAATGAACTCAGTTAACTTGCTGCTCTTTGCTGATGTACTTTGAGTACTTCCTACCTTATACTCCCACTACAGCAGGTGTAATCTTTGTGTTTAGGTTCACCCAAGAAATTCAAGTGTTGGTATCGATTAAAAAAATAACTAGCAAATCATATAGAACTTAAACTAGTTTCTGAACAATATGTAAACTTTAAGTAGGCAGTTGCAAACTTAAGAGTGTAAATACTGTCTCTATCCATTTTTCCTGCAACTGATTAATACAGTATGAGTGAAATGTTTTCATCTCAGATTTTCTTCACAGTTGGGTTTGCATGCAGGTGCTAACTTATGTACAAATAGCTAACTTCACTGTAGCCAAAGCTTTTCCTGGATCCATTGTCTAAGGGAACATACAGGCTATGAATACTTGTATGTTCTTATAATTAGATTATTTTGTAAACTAAATTCAGTGAGGTTTGAACACACTTTTCTCTTGCAGATTTTACGTAATGAAAAAAGTAATCATAGTCGCATAAACCTCGGTGCTTCATGCTGTTTGCTGAAACAGCGCATGTTTTACTGGGCAGACTTGCCTGTTAGGAAAAGTTATGGGAGGATGTCATTTGTTTAGGAGGACTGAATGAAGATTGAAGACCTTTAACTGTACTCTGAATGAGACTAAAATTGTTTAATGCTGTTCAGATCACTGTGCATATTTCCATAACTCATTTCCCTTTAACAGTGGCAGAAATCATTTGAGATTTTTAGTAAGTAGTCTAAAATAACTAAGCATAAAGCTTGGAAAAAATCTTTCCTATGTTTAAAAAAAAATGGGGAGAAGCAGGAACATGACTAAATGAATGCTGCTTATTGTGTCTCAACCTCAGTATTTGTCTTGTGCCTTGTTAATCTTAAACTGCATCTAGGTTATCTGAGGTAGCTTTCTGCAATATAAGAATAAAATTAATAGGCGATGGGTTGCAAATAGGTAGATGTTATCTTGTAAGGAATCTCATTCAATTAAGGAGCACATTTATTAAAAGGTACTGTACATACTAGGAAGGTTAAGTAAACTCAAAAAAAGAAATCTGTCGAGGACTTGTAGGATCATAAATAACCCTTCTGACTCTGGGACTTTCTGACCTGTAGCTTGCAGAAACAGTGTAAGTGTGGAGCATCATTTGTCCCAGTCTTTGTAGTCTGAAAGTGCATTACTGGTGACACCTGCAATAAATCCCATTAGAGCTGAGTTCTTGTTCTGATCTCGCATAGTATTCCTTGGGTTTAGATAATGGCAAGCACAAGAATTAATGGTTTTGTAGGTAACATTTTTTCTTGTGTAGTAATACTTAGTGTAGGACTTAAAGAATCTTTTCCAGGGTAGTCATTTCATTTGGTGGGGTGAGACTATTGGTTATGTTTAATGAAAAGGTCTTGGTTTGGGCAAACCTTGGTGAATTTGTTTTTCAGGACATGTTTTTTAAGTATACGTGGAATAACTTTCTGCACACTCAAGTAGAAATCTGTATTGCATTGATTCTTGCAAGTCCTCTTGAAAGCACGGACAATGGCACAATTACGGATCAGGATTCCACTGGGGACAATCTCTTACTGAAACATGTAAGTTGTGTTTTTTGTGAATCTCTTGAATTTTCTTGTTTTACATAAATATACCCCAGTTTTACTTTATGTACAGAGCAAACAAGAATATCTTTCTGGTTTTACTTGAAATATCAGTTTAGGGTGTTAAACCTGAAACTGTCATAGAGTAGATTTTTGCTGCCCCAAAGTGAGCATGTGTGCAGAGCTGCAAGTATTTATTTTCCCTGAAGTTCCTGCTATTTTTAAGAATTAAAATAACTATTTCAGTAGCTTTGTGCTACTACAATACAGCATTAACAGAGAGGCCTAGAAATACTGTTTGAGATCCACTGTTGCTTCTAAATTTTAAATCCTCCAATGAAAGTATGAATTTAGTTTTCTTGTGGACTTAAGTATCAACTGTAAATACATAATAGTGTTCCACTTTACTGCTACTAAGCATATTTTGCTTTTTTGACAGCTCTTCCTTAAGTGCCAATTAATAGAAAGAATACTTGAAGCCTGGGAGATGAATGAGAAGAAACAGTGAGTAATTAGTTTTCTCATTCCCTGCAATTGTCACATAGATCTTGAATTGTGAAATGAATGTATAACCGAATCAGAAGTGATCTGGCCAGTTCTGAAATCACTTATGTGTTAGTATTTAAATTAAAACTTTCTCTCATACTTTTTGTAGCATTCTAATACTTTTCCCTGACGATTTGAGAATGCAATAGTTGTCATTCTTGCCATGTGTAAGATATTGCTTTGATCTTTAAAGTTTACCTATGTTCAAGTGCAGAAACATATTGTGAGTTTTGAGAGGACAGGAAATACTTTTCCCAAGTAAGCAATTGAGAATTATTTATGATATCACGTACTGGGCAGCATTCAGATACCTAAGTAGTAAAACCAAGTCCTCAGCAGTGGAATACCTTCTAAAAGTATGTGTTGAAAAGGATATAAGTTTTAAGTAGCTAATGTTGCCTGAAACAGTTTTTATAGCAAAAACCTCCAGTTTTACCTGAGGTGGTAAAACAGTTCTCTGAAGGCTCATAAGTTTGGCTCAGGAGATACTGAACAGTAAACGTTAGTTCTGACATGTCAACATACTGAATTAAGTAACTAGGATAGTGCTGCAGGTTTGCTATGGTATGTTATTTGAGACAGTTCCACTCCCCAAAACATTCCTGTTCCTGTCTTATGTGAATCAGATAGTAAATATATGGCTAATGTAACTGACCTGGAAATAAGGATGCTGAAGAGAAGGGTAGAAAAAAAAGGCAATGTGACTTCAAGTAACTGTAGAAGACATGCTCTACTCAGTGTCTTCTATTTTATATCGATTCTCCTGAGGTTATAGAGAACTGCCAGCTTTATCAACAATTAGACTCTTTCTGCTGGTAAAAATCTGATGTAGTGAAAAGTTGTTTGATTTACTGGGATTAATAAGCATGTACTAACAGAAAACACAGTTGTATTCCAGACTTTTTGACTGGGCAATGACAAGTCAGTCCAGTTTGTCAAATACAAACAGTTTTTATTGGCATATCCTTTCTTAGAAATTATTAGCTTTGCCATCATCATGTGCTGCTTGTTTTGAATGTAATCATTACCTAAGTAGTCAAGGCAAAAAAGGCAAGAATCTCTCTCAAGTTGTTCCTGTAAACAGTGTAATAGTTTGATACATGGTATTTTGCACTGACATAATTTCAATAATCTCATGTGTCAGATGATGTGGTGGAAAATCAAATCATGTGATTTGTGTTTGCATAACATAAGCTACTTCCTGAACTGCTGTCACTTTACAAAGGTTTCAGTCAAATTCATGGGAGGTTTGTCTAGCCAGTTGAGCGGGTCTTTCTTGGTTTTCATTTAAAACACAAAACCTTAAACTGATGCAGCAGAAGTCTGGTTACCTTGCAGCTAAATGCTAGAAAATCAGTTCAAGTTGGACCTCTCATTATTGCTATTTGGACAGATGTAGAATGGTTCCAACTGATAATAGGTATTCACAGCACTATTGTAACATCTGGTAATTCCTGGTTCTGCAGAGCAGTTCTGTCATAAATACTCAAATAGCCTTATAATTTTATCTTTGGTAAATATGTAAATGTCGTTCCTAAATTTCCTAAGTCCTGACTTAAATTGATGTGCTAAATGTAATGTTAAGAAGCTCTGAAATACTTAAAACACACATAAGAATTCTTTTGCCTTTTGATTGTGGGTGCAGAGCTCTGAGGAAATGTGTATTGTAGTTTTGCAAAATACTCTAAGCGACAGAAATTTCCTAAAAACTCTAGATTTTTTGCTAATTTTGTCATTATTTTGATAATGCTGTACATTTTTCTTTCTACATGCACAAACATTAAAGTATTTGGATTTCCTACTTGGTACTTTACATGCTTGTTAAGTATCCTAAACTGGCTCAGGGTAGTGACAGCAGTTGATACCTTAAATTCTTGAGCATTTTTGTGAACCTTTGGTTTAAGATGCAACTCTTTAGCTTAAGAACCCCTGTGCTATTTGTCTTGTGTGACATCTTGACTCTGGTAGAGTGTTTTATAACAACATGTAGCAGCACAGTTGCTCTGAGTGTGGGCAGTTGAATTCCTTTTGTCTCTTGCAGGGCTGAAGGAGGAAGACGGCACGGCTACATGGGTCACCTGACAAGGATAGCAAACTGCATTGTGCATAGTACAGATAAGGGGCCAAACAGTACACTAGTCCAGCAGCTCATTAAAGGTATTGATTAATGGTCTTACATTTATTTTCATATATTTCATTATCAAATGCTGAGGAAATTAATCAAACTTAAATTAAAAGGTAACTGTTGGATAAAATAAGAAAATATTGATTACTTCTGAAGCTTTCAGTTTAAACCCAGCTATCCCAAAACGTATGCTTAAGTTTTATGTTTTTTTTTCAAGCAGTATCAAAGCTCCTTGAAAGAGATACAAAGAGATGCTGACCTGCTTAATTTGGACTTGTTTACTAGGTGGAATCTTTTTGGATTTAGGAGGATGTGTCTGTTCTTACCAGTATTTTCAGTAGAGCAGAAGAAAACATTTGAAAATTAAGTGTTGCTTCATTGTTGATAGTATCAAATTGGTTTGGGTTTTTTTGTTTCCTGCGCTAGAGCTTCCAGAAGATGTCAGAGAGCGATGGGAGACATTCTGCACAAACTCTTTAGGAGAAACTAACAAGAGGAATACGGTGGACCTGGTAAGTAGTGATGGATAAAGTATGAAAATTGCTGCTGCTTTACTTGGGCTCCAGTTTCTTTTTGTCAGCAGCACTGTCAGTCTTCCAAAATACCATGTACTTATGAGAAGTCTATCTAGTTACTGAGCTATGGAACTGATAATTCTTTAGTTTACTTTTCAACTAAAGCCATATCATTAATATTTTTATGGGAATAATGCAGAAGTTCAGTTTGTAATAGCTAATCCCAGACAATCTCCAAGAATGAGGATTTCTTTACTGCTTCAAATTAGTGTCCTTGCAAACTTCTCTCTGCTTGAAGAGTACAACTATAAGTGCAGGAGCTGCTGTTAATTGCTTTGTCTACAGGATGTAAATGACCCTCTGTAAGTTTAATGGGAAAATACTACCTGTGTTCACTGCAAGTGTTACTGACCTTGCTTAAGTCACATAACTTTGCATACTCCTGTGCACCTGCCACATTCCTTCTGCATGCAGCTGCAGTGATTACACTTTTAGAAAAACCCTAAACTTAAGCAGAAGTATGAAGAGGTTTTGTGTAATCATGTTAAACACACAGTTTGAGTAATCACTTGGAGACTTTATTAAGTATAGGCTGTTTCCAATGTCAACAGACCAATTCATGAATTTTAATATACCTGACTTTTCCAGGAATGCAGTGCTTTGCATATGGCTTCATTAACTAACTTGTGCTGGTTCTACATTAATTGGGCTATAAAACTAATAGTTTGTTACATGCTATTTCAACATAATATAGTAAGTGGAACATAATACTAACAGGTGTCAATAGAAGCAGTAGAAAATTCACCTGAAACTGTGCAACTTGTGGACAGGACCAGATGATAAAGCAATTTGTCTTGATCCTGTGAATGCAAAGTGCACAATGCTTATAGATTAATGTTATTTTTCCTCTGGTTGAAAACTACTTGGTCAACACCAAGAGAAGGATTATGTAAAGAGGAAGAGTTTTAGACTGACTTATAATAGATAACACTAATTAGCTCTTTAGATACCTAATCATTTGCTTGGATATACTTGGTGTAGCAACAGTAAAACTTAATTGAAAACTTATCTCCAAACTCCACAATTTTCAGTAGAATAGAAATACAAAGCATTAAAACAATTTCTTTTGTCTGAAATGCCATCTGGAAAACTTCGTCTTGGAATTTCTCCAATCAGGCTTGCTTTCTGCTTGTGTGATTGATTACCATGAACCTAGGATTAACATTTAGTTCAAAGCTAATCAGTAATGGACAGTACAGTGTGTAGGAGATAAAAAAGATCTCACAGAAAACTCAGCTTACTGTTTGGCTGAGTCAGGTTTAAGTATGGTTATTGTTTTAGTGTATACTGAAAGCACAGTATTTCTTCCCAGTCATACTGTTCCCTGCTGTCCACCATACTTTTGATCTGTGCTTTGGTCTCTATGGATTTGTCCATAGACAAATAAACCTGGACAACTTGCTATGTCTGAGTGTTCAAGCTCTTCTGCAAGTTGATGAAAACATCCTGGGTTCAAACAACAACTTAGCAGAACTAATGTTTATACCTGAAAAATCATACACTTGATGTAAAGTGCAGACTTTTCAATGCCCCCAGAGCAAGATCTTAAGCACACATTTCTTAATTTTATATGAATTAGCCTTATACTTATTGTTGGGTAGATGAGTAGACTTATTTACTTAGTTCAGGGTTTTTCTGTGCTAAGTGAGATGTTAAGCAAAATATATCAGACACTGATTCCTGACCTGAATGATAGAACTGTGATTTACTGTTAAACTTGATCTTCAAACAACTTACTGAATTCACAGTGCTCTGACATACCCTTATAGTGGGAGGTTAACTGAAAAATATGTAACTGCATTGGGTGTGTGAATGCTGTGGAAATAACTGATCTTGTGAGTATTCAATGCTTCAGGTTTTTGGTGATTAGCAAGGGCTATTTTACTATAATGGAACAAGTTATGTCTTCTTCCATTTATAATGAACTGCTTCTGCAGCCCCAAAACTATTCTTTTTTGGTTGTTCTGCACTGCGGATGTTGATCGTAAACCTATCAACACTTTATCCCTTTTACTCTCTCCTCTTTAGGTTTTACTGTCTTTCAGACAAGTTCTTGTTACATTTTCTATAACAGCAATAATTGCAGACTTAGAAGTGAGCATGCAGAACTGTCTGAGAGTTTCTCCAAAACACTTTACAGAGTTTACAGGAAGTTTACTTTTGTTATTTCAGTGCTAATTGTTCTTTTGGTAGAAGGTAACAATATTTCTCTAGGCTTTCCTACTTATACTTACCTAGCTGAAGATTAAACAAATAAAGAGTAAATGTTGATTTTCAGTTTAGACAAGGTGCACTAATGATGCTGGTACAGTAAGGAATGATATACAGCTTGTAATGCTAGGTTTGTAGCTAGACTTCCCATGTGCCTCTATGGCATCCTTCCAGTATTACTCATGATACTGAAAGTTTCTGAGGTATACCTAAAGACTAGGTGAGGAGAATATACCTACCCAAGCCTAAAAGTAACAGTCTCCAGGACAAACTGTTCATATTTGCCTTAAGAATTGCCATGTAGTTCCTTTCACTTAAGGAAATCCTTCTCAGTGTTATCAGGAAATGAGGCAAAAAAAGCCACACATAAGAATGAATTATTTGTGGGAAGTGCCAGTGCTGTGTTAGTATTAGAAAGTGACTGGGCTGAACAGTGAGGAGCTCTAAGTGTTGCTTGCTGCACTTTGCAAGTGAACATTCCCACTTCTTTCCCTGGCATCATTTTGCCATTTATTTATTAGGGTGGAGTAATGTTAGTTTCTTTTCAAGTTAATTCAATACATAACCTGTCATGGGAGTTGGGACCAAATGATCTTTAAGGTCCCTTTCAACCCCTTAGCATCCCGTGAGTCTGTGATTTAAGGTCTTATGTCCTCTTGATTGCCAAAGGGAGATTTTTGAGGAGAAAGAACTGTCTAGTCAAGAGTCCTGAGCTTGTTTCTTTTACAGGAGTAAGGGCAAGATTTTTACAGGAGATGAACTTGTTCATTAGTAGTAACTAACACTACATAAACAGCTTCTTACTTGGGTTTGAGTGTCTTTTTTCCACAATAAGTTGCAACTGTAGAAGGGATAGGTGTATTAACTTTTGTCCTCTCAAAATGTTCCACATGAGGGTGGCAGTATCTAGGGCAGCTCAGGTTGTGCTATGGAATGCCATATGGAATGCCTTGAAGTATAGAGGCTTGTGTCATATGAAGCTTTGTATGTGTTTCTGTGCTCCTTTTGAATAGACTTGATTTTAAAAAAGTAAGAATCTGTGAACCACCTGACATCACTTGAGAATGTGTAGCATGGAATTCTAGGAGTGTGGAAAAATAATGTAGTATATTACAGTGCAGTATGAACTTTGTCTTCTGTAGATTTGCCTTTTACTAGTTATCCCTCATAGAGTATGTCTTAAGGGTCAGCTACTGCTAGTATTACTTTAGTTAATTGCTGTCCCAGCCTAAAACTACTTTTGGAGTGCTGTTCTGATTGAAAGTGAGTACTTCTAAGAACATATTGCTTGGGTAGCAGTGTCACTGAACAAACTGTTCCCACTAGTTACATGTCATATCATAAAAAAAAATAAATCTCTTCTTTCATTACTAATGTTTAAAACAGTGGCTACTATGGCAAAAAATCCCAAGACAAGGTTCAGGTTTTGTCTCATTTAGTTTTAGATAACTGTCAGCTGTAAGACTGGCTTATTTACATGAAATAGTCATTTTGAGTAGTCAAAATCTTTTGGCTTCATGTATGTGATAATGCCATGGAGATATTTCAGGGTCTGTTTTATGTGGTATTACAGCTGGTAAAAACCAATAGTTCAGTTTCTTGGTTTGATATGAAACTGAAGATTCAGCCAGATGGTGTGAGTGTATATGAGTATACACTGTGCTATGCTGTGCAAGTGACCCAAATTTCTTTGTGTAGGTTACTACCTGCCACATCCATTCCTCCAGTGATGATGAAATTGACTTTAAAGAAACTGGCTTCTCTCAGGATTCCTCCTTGCAGCAGGTGAGTTGAATTCTTTTAACAGTTTAAGTTGCTCTTTCTGTACAAGTAAATGCAGATGTTTTTAAAGAAGCAAAGGAACTTGTATTTTTCTTGCCAGCAACTATAAATCTAGAAAGTTTAAGATAAAAGGTGTGTGCATGCACACAACTGTGCCTTATCAAACTCATAATATGCATCTCCTTGAATTCTTTCACTGGTGGTGAAAGGGTGGGAGCTATGTGGCACAAGATTGTCAATAGATCCCTTAGATGGAGCATGTTCCTTGGCTGGGTTACTAACCAAAATCTTTCAACTCACACTGACAGCTGTGTAGTAACTACTTAGTCTAGGACTGGCTTTAGTATTGTATGCATCTTCTGTAGTTTTTATAATAAGTAATTGCTTCTATAAGTTTGAATTGTGGGTGGTGGCTCAAGCTTTAAAATCTGATGCATTTTTATCTAATTAAGTGCTTTTGTACATGTAAGGTGCACCTGAATAAAAACTTGATAAGTTGGGTGCTATCTGTAGCGGCTTTAGTGAGAAAGTAAGATCTTCTAATATCTCTGTGCTTTTCATGCATCCCCTTAGTGACCTGCTGTGCCTAGGCAATCCCAGCAGTTCCAGGTAGTTAATCTGGAGAAATGCAGATGGTCCAGTGCTGCTTCTTTCAAGTTTGTCTTGCTGTATACCTCCTCCTTTTATATATATTTTCTTTTTCCTTCAGTTTTCATAATGCCATAATCTAAACTTGGGGGTTTTTGACCGTTCTTTTGTTTTCTTTCTATATTCACTGTATTCAACTTTACCACCATACTGTGTCCCTTCAGCTACTGGGGCAAGAAGCCAAGAGAGTTGGCAGGACAGCTTTATTCCCTAGAATATCTTAGCATTGGCTGACTTTATACATGGAAATAACATTATTAAAAGTCCCTGGAGAATGTGTGATAATTTATAATTTATTGTTCTGGGAAATGAGAGACAAAAACTATTGTTATGGATAGGAGAAGATGCCCTCTTGTACCTTAATATGTATATTCCCATCTCTTGGCAGTTGACACTGGCATCTTTATTTAAAAAATTATGTATGGTTGTGCCAGTGACACTGCACTGACATGTAAAATATTCAGTTGTGTAGTTCTTCTAGATATTTAATAGGTGCTGCTGGTGTGTGTGCCTGAGACTGATACTGCTAGAGATAACTACATGATAAATATGCAACTGTGCTTAGTATCAATATGTAATTACTTTTCGGGTTCTTACTACTTATATAACTTCATGTTATTTTGATCAAAGACAGCTTTTTCTTTTATAGAGTATATTGTGTTGTTTCACTGTTTCTTCAGGGTGCATTTGGAAAGGTGCTGATTAATATGATTAAACTACAGATTTAACTTTTATTGAAAACTACTATTAGACTGGCTTTCAAATCAGTAAATGTAAGAAGAGTTGTAGTTGATGTTACCATTCAAAATTCAAAGGTTAAGACAAATCCTTTTCCTGTCCTTTTATGTTTAGTTTAGATAGACTTTTATTTCTTTGGAGCAAAATGGGCAAATAGGTTTTAGAATATTATTAGAATCATTATATCACTGTCGTTGGTCCTGGGGTTGCCAGGCCTTTTCTGATTATCAGATGCAACAAATGACGTCCAATTTTATTGACCAGTTTGGCTTCAACGATGAGAAGTTTGCTGATCAAGATGACATCGGCAAGTGAGTATAACATTATACTGACTTTGGCTGTAGTCTTGTGAGTTTTCTTTCTTACTGTGTTTTTGGCTGTTGTTTTGCTGATGATAAACAAAAGTGTTTGCCGATGTGAGGCAGTTACCAGTCAGTCCTGTCTTTTTGTGCCATCTGTGTGCATTGATGGAAGCATCTCTGAACAGTTTACAGAGGAAAGTAACAACTTATCTTCCTTTCTAATGTCTTCCTTGTGTCAGCATTAAGAACACAGTGCTTGGGAATAAAAAGCTAAATTATAACTCTTCTTTTGAAAGTTATGACTCTCCATTGACCTGGCATTGCTTTGGGGCACTTTCACTTTCTCTGTGTCTCAAAGTGGTTTGGTTTTTTTTCCCTTGCTGAATCTATGTACTGGACCAGATGAATATCTCTACTTTTAAGTTTTCCTGTAAAAAATGACAGGAACAACATGTCTCTGAGTGCACTTTTCTTTAGGGGACAGTAAGGAAGGACATTGTAAATCTACCTTTGTTTATAAGGGCAAGGCAGTTAAGACTTCTACAGATGTGGTCAAAGATGAGGAAATTAGAACAGTCTTGGTCAGGTTAAAAAAACCCCAAACAAGCAAAACTAAAACCAGCACACAACAAAATATACCCCCCACCAAAACTGATATCTTTCTTCAGTTCTAAGTAAACTGATGCCATAAAGGGAAAGGTGAACAATGGGCGTTCTTGCTGATAGCAGAGTCCATCGTGATTGTTATAATATCTCATGGTTTGGGATGCCAGAACATATAGATAGGAGTAAAAAGCATTACTTCAAGATGGTTTTTAGAATAAAAAATTTTACTTTTATAATGATCTCAATGCTCTTCTATAAGACATGTTGAGTAAATGGTGCCTTTTTACACCATATAATATGCTGAGATTATAGATTAAGATATGATGGTAGAGGAAGTAACTCAGGATACTCCTTAACTTTATTAGAAGCCAGTGGATTTTGGCTACGCCTTTTGTGCAAGAATCAGTTACACTTTGTCACCTGCATACTGTTGCCCAACAATTCAGATGGTCGCTTGCACAGTAATTCAATCACACTTGAAACTTAGGTTCCTTTAGACCACTTACCTTTTTCCCTGATTTGTAATGCACTGAAGATCAGAGGAAGAGTAGTAGCATGCTCTGCTGAATGCACTGCTAGGCAAGGAATGTATTGACTCTTCTGCAAGTCTGGTAATATTTTGTATCTTTTTCTCCTCTGTTTGTTTTTGCGTCCCCTAGAGACCTAGGTTGCCTAACGTAATTTTTAGTCAGACATGTGTGTAATTACTTTAGTGAAATTGATTGATAGCTTAATAAGTGAAGATGTATCAAGCCTAATATAAAGTATTATGTTTGGAAAAATATTTCAGTGGTTAAAAAATACTTCTGAGGGGTTTTTTTTAGGAAACAGAACTTGGTATTACATTTTTCATTTTGTCCCTTCGTATTGAGAAGGTCCTTAAATAGAGTGATGAAATCAGTTAGAATATAAAAAAACTGCTAACACAGATATTTGCAGGACTTTGAATTGTATCATGGTAGACCATAGTTAGGTTAGGCATTTTCAGGTCTAGACTTTTTCCAGGGCATAACAGTACAGTATTTGAGATTTGTGTATATAATTTCAGTTATGCTTGTTTAGGCTTGTTGCATCTTTATGGTTAACTGTAGGGTAGAGATGGCATTGTTTTGTGCTTTTGTTTAAAATATTTTAAAGTTAGAAAAATCTCATGAATGCCAGGCTTCCTTCACGTGAAATTTGACTGTTTTGTGTTGAAAACTACTGTCTTTAGTCTTTATATTTAGATTATTGGAAAATAAGAAACCAATGAGAAATGTGTTAATGTCATGAGAGAAAATCTTGTTTTATTGAATATGTCTGCTTTTTTCTTGTAGTGTTTCTTTTGATCGCGTCTCGGACATCAACTTTACCCTCAATACAAATGAAAGTGTAAGTATGTGTTCCAGTACCGTCAGAAAAATTACTACCTTAAACTTATGTGGGACCTCAAAGTTTTGGTGGTGATTATATTTACTCCTTTTATGTGTAATTGTTGGAAAATAACTACCCTACCTTATTCCTGTATCATGATACCTCTCTTCAAGAGGGAGAAAAAAGGAGGAGTATCAGAAAGGAAGGACTAATTGGGAGGCACTGTTATTGTTCTTTGTGATCAGTATTAAGCAGAATTGCTTCTAGTTTGTATAGCTGAGTTTGAGACCGGGCTTCAATCTAATTTGTGTATATTGCACACTTGTGTTTTATGACTAGAAGCTATTTCAGTCTTCCAGTGAGATTATAGTGACAGAAAAGTAAGAACAGAGACTCTAAACCTAGATATTATTTGTTGGTTGAGCTGAAATGACATCACCTACAGAAAATAAAGCTGAAATACTTGGTGGTCAGGTTATCTGGAAAGGTTTTTGGTGTCATTCCTCTATCCCATTTTTAAACATGAAGGAAACTCCTAACTGTTCTTTGGTTCACTCAGCTTGTTAGTAAGCCAAGTAAAGCAAACAGCACTGAGTATTTTCTTGACAAGCTTTAAATTATTAAGACATTCTGGTTTTCTACTGCTTTAAGGGAAATGTTTAAGAATCTCTTTGGAGTAGTCATATATTTTCAAGATGTTTACTAATGTAAGTAGAATGATCACTCATAAATATGTATTTTATACTTTTGCTGTATTTAGGGCAATATAGCCTTGTTTGAGGCATGCTGTAAGGAGCGGATACAGCAGTTTGATGATGGTGGCTCTGATGAAGAAGACATTTGGGAAGAAAAACATATTGCCTTTACACCAGAGTCCCAGAGGCGTTCCAGGTAGGAAATGTGGTTTTCATCCAAGTAGCAATGTAGTGAGCCTGTAATAATGTCCCTGTCCTTTGGTTCAGACTGGCTGTTAGTACAGACTGTCCAGCATTTCAATTCCGTAGAGAAATGGTTCTAGTGTTCCGTTTTCCAGCCATAATCTGCACTTCAACTTTTGTAGTTTGTTGTTTTGGGTTTTTTCCTCCTGATGCTTGTTCTTTCCCTCTGCTTTTAAACCTGCTTAGCCGTTCTTGCCTTGGACAAGGCAGCCCAGCTCCACACCTTTGTTCACCTTGCTATCTTGTCTACAGTACAAGTGTGATTGTGGACATAGGAAGATGCACTGAGGGGAAGGAGCATGTAGTCCCCAAAACTCAGGGTTTTGCAGCCTCCCTCAGTATATACTGAAAGCCTCTTTATGTGATCAACTGAAAAACCTTAAGCCTTGTTCTTTTGAGAGAGAAATGGGGAGAATTCTAACAGTTAAAAATTATATCTCCATTACTAATCAGAAATAATGGTGGTTGTAATTCTCTTTAGCCTCAAATTCTCCAGTATTTCTTAGTGCCCAGGGTATGATAGTAAAAGCAAAATTTAAACTATCTCTTTGTCTTTGAAGTTCGGGCAGTACGGACAGTGAAGAAAGTACAGATTCTGAAGAAGAGGATGGAACTAAACAAGACTTGTTTGAATCGCACACCAATACAGAAGACAAAATGGAAGTAGACTTAAGTGAACGTACGTAGCTTTTTTCCCTATTCCTTTGGTTATAGGAAATTGTTAGATCTAGCAGACTGATTTTGTAGGATTTTCCTTGTTTACTGTTTTTATTCCAACTATCTTAAAGTAGTCTTTCCCACTCGCAACAGAGCATGCAAATGTTGGGAAGTTTGAATTCCTTACACGTCTTGAATTACTTTTTGTTTCTAAAATTCATGTTACCTCTCTTCAAGAGGGGAAAAAAAAGGAGGAGTATCAGAAAGGAAGGACTAAATGTACTCATTTATAAATATTGAATGCCTGCAAAACTAATAGGTTGTTAATCTCCAATCCCAAAAGATGGTATTTTTACTTGAAGCCTTCCAGACCAACTTTTCATCTTAACAATGCTCTTTGAAAAGACTTCCTACAGAAGCTAAGTGAATTTGTGTTGTTCTGGTTTCATGTGCAAATGAAAGGTGCACTTCAGGAGACTCTAATGTGAAATCTTAACTGATGTAATTGGTTGAAAAGTTTTCACATTCAAGTCAAGACTAAACTGGCTTTAGTTAAACTGGCAATGTCTATAGGTGAAAGCCCTGTGTTTATCTAGACTGTAAGGAATTAAATTAAAATAGAAGGAAAAGTTAAGGGTTTTCTTTTCTTTTGTCAGATTGGTGTCGTTGGCATCTGTGTGTCAAACAAGTTTTGATCCATGTGGGTCTCCTCCCATATCTGCCTGGGTTGGAATTTCTAATTGCTAGTCAGAGCTTCCTTTTCAGCCTGTTTTTTTGTATGTAAGTGTTAATGAAAAACATGTTTCCCTTGGGTAGGTGAAGTATTTTGAATTGACCTATCCTAAATTAGATGCTATTAAGTCACAGTTACTCCAAAATTTAGAATACCAATAAATATTTTAAGTTGTAAAAAGCCTTAAACTTTTCTGAAGCTTAGCAGTGGTGTTAGTGCATGAGAAATTATTTAAAGAAATTGAAAAAGGGATGAAAACTCTTAAGGATTTTATTATTATAGAAATAAGTTTTGAAAAATGTTAACAAATGTTGATGTTAATTTAAAGAATAAAGTGGAATTATACTTGTGATCTATTATGATTTATTAGTTCTTCAGATAAATACAGCCTTTTTTTAGCAGAGTACTCTGAGTTACTGATCTTAATTCTGCCTTACTAGCAGAATTTTCCTTTTAGGCAATACATCCATTTTTTAACAGGATATAGAAGATTTTTCTGCATGTGCTTTGAAGTCTTGTTAGGAATTTGGCTCTTTGGTTTTGAAATGTGCATAGAGAGAATCAGTGTGTTAGGCATATGTGCATTCATGTTCTTTATTTAAATTTTTTTCCTAATGAACTTCCTGATGGTTTTTCAGCACCTAACTGGTCAGCGAACTTTGATGTACCCATGGAGACTGCACATGGTGCCAGTCTGGATTCTGTTGGGTCTGGTGTGTGGAGTACTGAAGCACCTGTGCCAGCAAAAGAAACTGGCTGGGCTTCATTTTCTGACTTCACATCCTCTTTAAGGTAAGAAACTTAGTCATTGAGAATAAGTTTGGTTTCCTTGGGGTGTCCATCTCTACACAAGCCTGTGTTAGTGAAGTTCTGATGGAATATGAGGTGTATGGAAAGTGTCCAAAGGGTCCCATGTGTTCTAACAGCATGTCTTCGTATGATCTACTTCATAGCAGGCTTTTCTAGGATGACACTAGTGTCACTGTTTTAAAGGGGTTTTACGAACATTTGTGTCCTTTAATATGGGTTTCTGACCAAAATTTGGTCTGTAAATTTTTTTGTTTATTTTTTAATGTAGACTGAACTCAGTGAAGGGTTGAACGTGAACTGTTGAATGTAAAGGTTACAAAATGTCTATGATGAGGATTCTGTTCTATGGATGTTATAAAGCAAATAGGTTTGGGTTTTTGTTTGGTTTGTTGGGGGTTTTCTGATGGTTTTCGCTTGTTTGGTTTTTTGTTTGTTTGTTTTGGAAACTCATGTATTTGTGCAGCTGTGATAACTAGGTTAGGCAGTTCTGCACTATTTCGAGAACACTCGAGATAATGCTGTTCTGTCTTCGACGGAACTGTACACAGAAAGTAACTGAAGTCTTGTGTGTGTATCTAATCACATAGATCTAAATCTTGAGTTGCCAGATATTAGCAATCAAGAACTGATTCCTTCTCCAGTCAGAAGACTTCGCTTTTATACATCTGGCTTTTGATTTTTCTCTCTGGCATTAAAACAGCTCAGATATAAAAGTTTGATTTTTTTTCAACATGAAACAGTGTGTTGTTTCATGCTTGAGATGGGTAAATTGATAACCAAATTAAGGGTTTAGAAAATGAAGACTTGGTGTTGCTACATTACTGGATAGAAAAGCCATTATTCTGTAAATGGTGAGAAGTTTTTCAAGTGGCCAAATCTTGTCTTTTGAGTTTCTTCAGAATGAAAAACTTGTAGCTATACTGCCATGTACAATTAAGTAGTGAAATCACTTTTGTAGTGGATGATGACTGCATTGGCAGTCTCAGAGAACCATCTTTCAGGGTGGAAAGAGTGCATTTGGAAAGCTAAGCAAATCAAACAAGTCAAAATAAAATGACCATCAAACATCCTCACCTTAGTTCTGGTGGATTTTGCAATACTGAACTTCTATTTAGCATGTCTTTCCAAGACTCCTACAAACTTGCTGTCTTTCAGCTTCACTAGAGTTCTAGCGAACTTTATAGTGAGCTTTGATAGAGAACTTATGCTGTTTTAAGAACACTGCATTCTGCTATTCAGAAAGGTTTCTAAAGCTTTTTTTACTGTATTTGAAGCTCAAAAGATTCCTTAAGAAGTAATTCTCCTGTGGAAATGGAAACAAACGCAGATCCAGGTGATCCCTTGAGTGCAAACGTAACTGCTCTTGCAACACAGCTGGAGAGTGAGTATACTGCATTCGCAAATGCAAATGGCTTGATTATAGGAGTTGTATCTGAGAAAGATCTCCCTGAACTTTAAAATTTTAGAGTTCCAGAGACCTCTTCTCTGGTTCTGCTGCTGTTCTGCCAGGTAATGAAAATGACTTTTCAAAGAATTTATGAACTATTTACAGTAGTTTCCAGTTCAAAACACGAACCAGTGTTATTGTTACCTCTAAAAAGCCTGCACATCATGAAACAGAAAAGCACTACAAAGAAACCAAGTGTGTTCTGTTAGAGAATCCTCTCACCTGTGTCAGCACTTAGCTGAGCTGATGCCCAAGAAGAGTGGTCACCTCCAGTCTCGTCCAATGTTGCAGCAGGCCGGTAACCTCAATGTGTTCAAATTTCTCCTTCCTACTCATTCCTTTCCAAGCCACCTTCGCTGTGCACGCACTAACTTTTTATTCTACATATATGAACTGGTTACAGAACAAAAATATTTTAGTGAACTTTTTTTATATATATCACTAACAGACAGAGCAAGAAGTGCAGATGAGAAGTTCAGGGAGACTGGACTTCCCAAAGGCTTGTGTGTACTCAGAAATGTAGTGTCAAATTTTTACTGTGTGGACTTGTGTCGTGAATTTGGCTGTACAGAAAAATAATTCTTCACTGTAATCCTACCTAAGTCTTGTTTAGGCAAACTTGTAGTAATTGTTGTCAGTCTAAATCAACAAGTGGCCTGTAAAATGAAAAAAAAAATTACGGACTGTGGCTTCTTCTTAAGCCATCTGTAAGTAGTACTTATGCTCTCTCTATATCTATATCTGTGTGGCACTTGCAGAAAGGTGATTCTCTCGTAAGGAAGAATTCAGGAAGTGTACAAAACTGCAAAAATATTTTTCTGGTTATATTGGCTTATATGCTTGCTCATGAAATAGAAATATAACTAGCCATGTACTAAATTACTTCTATTTATACTTCTAGCCCCAGGAAGTGTTGCCATGGAGGCCAGCTCAGATGGAGAGGATGATGTAGAAAATGCAGACAAGGTAACTGAAACAGTCATGAATGGCAGCATGAAGGAGACACTGAGCCTAACTGTAGATGCTAAAACTGAAACGGCTGTTTTCAAAAGGTAAGAATACCTATTTATTCCCACCTTGTAAAGTAGACCCTGTAGATGGAACACTGTCATTAAAGAGTTCTTTGTAAGTGATAATTTAATTAGAAAGTATTCAAAATGATTGTTTTGAAATTTTACTTCTACTTAGTTACTGTAACATACGACTTTACTTATCAAGCCTTAGTTTCAGTGGAAGGTTATTAGTGGAAGACTGAATCAACTTTGACCATGATGCTCATTACTGTGCAATTTCCCTATACAGGTCTTTTAACATACAGTTAATTGCATGTCAAAACTAAGCTTTTTAAATTTTGCATGGAATTCTTAGATTTGGATTGGAATTTCATTCTTCTCATCCAGAAGGATGGAGGACAGAAGTTGAAGGCCAGCCAGGCACTGCTCTTGAGAGCAGCTCGTCAGACACTTGGGGTGATCACTGTTAGTGGTATGCATGATTGTGTTAAATCTGTTCTGGACTACAGTGGCACATGGAGTTCTGGAATAACCAGAAGAGCAACTCCTTAATTTTGGTATCTTGTGATACCAAGTGCGTTATTTAAGAATAAGTGTCTTTCAGTATGGTTAAATTCTGTATTATATATATCAACACTATGATTCTTTTACAAGAATAAAGCACATTTCAGTTTTGTCTACTTAATCCCATCTACTAAGATCTTGTGATCTTAGATTTAATGATCAAGTGTTTTTTATTTAGTAGCAAATATTTATGTAGGTAAACAGACTACAAACAGTCTGACCTGCAAAAATTTTGCCTTCATTAATTGAAGCTGTTGTGTTCTGCCTCTACCCTGATCTTAACAAATTGGAACACACTACTAGCATTTTGGCCTGCAACCTTCTTCTCATTCTTTTAGAATAACTTCCTAGTATCTGTCCCTATTCTAGCTTTAAATATTGAAAAGAAACTGTCTATATGTTTTGGAAGTTGCTTAAAAAAAAACCCAAACACATTTGATTTCAGTAGAAAAAGCTTTTCCAGTGTTAGTCCTTAACACTGCCTGTCATTTACATTAATTTTACTTTTTCCTGCAAGTGGTAGTAGATAATTCCTGAACCATCCAAAATGAATAGAACTTGAAATGTAGCAGATTTGAGTCACTCTTGCTTCCATCCCTTCGATTATCTGATTGACTTAACTTCTGATGTTTTTCAGTACTGAGGAGGGAGCATTGCTTATAAATCAAATGGCATTGTTAGAGGAATTGAACCAAAGCAGTTTAGAGAAGTATTGGGACTCTGTGCAGACTGATGTGACATGCCTTGCTGATTTAGTAAATGATGCATCTGCTCTCCAGTTTATTCTGTCTTTTGGAGAGTGCTTTTATATGGTCTTCACTCTTCGATGTTTACAATTTGATTTAGTTATCCATGGTGTCTTTAAACTTCTCCTTAAACTGCTTTAGCTCACGTGCACTTTGAAGTTCTGTGACTTCTTATACTGATGCAAAAACTAACATAAGGAGGCAGCATGTGGTGGCAGTTTCTGCCTACCTTCATGAAATTATCTGCTTGAACTGTAGTTAAAAGGACAGAGAGGTGCAAAGGGAGGCAATATCACAGAATTACCCAGATCAGAAGAGAACTTGAAGAATTATCTGCATGGGAAAGGGAGCCAAGATGGTTTATTTGGCACTCTGTCCAATTGCATCTTGAAAACGTCTAGCAATGGGGACTCTGTGATCTTGATTTGGAAAGGAAATGTTAAGAAAACATGGAAGGAGACTCAGAGATGAGGTCTTGTCCAGAGAAGCCAGGCTGGCGAAGGGACTTGAGCACAAGTCCTGTGAGGAGAGGCTAAGGGAGCTGGGGTTATTTAGTTTGGAGAAGAGGAGGCTCAGGGGTGACCTCATCACTCTCTACAACTACCTGAGAGGAGGTTGTAGCCAGGTGGGGGTTGGTCTCTTCTCCCAGGCAATCAGCAGCAGAACAAGAGGGCACGGGCTTAAGCTCTGCCAGGGGAGGTTTAGGTTGGATATTAGAAAGAAGTTCTTTACAGAGAGAGTGATCAGGCATTGGAATGGCCTGCCCAGAGAGGTGGTGGATTCACCATCCCTGGAGGTTTTTAAGATGAGGCTGGATGTGGCACTGAGTGCCATGATCTGGTAATCACAGTGGGGTTGGATCAAGGGTGGGACTTGATGATCTCAAAGGTCTCTTCCAACCCAGTTAATTCTGTGATTCTGTGATTAAGTGTAGAGACTGTTCAACTCTGATAGAGAAGTATGGCCTCATTCTGAGTCAATGCTGAAGTGGCTCTTTTTTAAATCAACTTGCTGGGAAAAAGTCTAGATTAAGAGACAGAGTAGTGAGAGGAGGTCCTATTCTGGCCTGTTTACCTCGCAAAGTGAATGCTTCCAGACTTCAGCTTTGTCTAGATTTCTGTCAGTAGAAAACTTATGATGTTGAAGTCAATGTTGAGGGGAGGAAGAGCATTATAAGCACAGTAATTAATTTGTGGAAAGCTGCAAAGGACAAAAATGGGATTTCTGAACTTAGTTCAGAATGGAGAATGAGAAGGAAGAACGCTGGAAGAATGCTAGAAGAGACTACCTCTTTAGAAATTAAAAAAATTAGGACGCCAGTTGTGATGGTGACAAGTATTTTATTTGGAATGAATACAGAGACTATCAGGGCAAATGAGATGGGAAGATTAGACTGGGAAATTTGAGGAGAGATTGCAATACAAAAGACTATTTTTGCAGGCCCTGCAGGTAGAAGGAGGAAAGAGAAGGATTCATTGAGATTTAGAGGATCCATGGAAAACTGTGAGAATAGGAAGAAAACCAACAGAGGAGATTGGCACTTCTTGCATAAATAGATTTGTTGTCACAGAAGTATAAGATTGATGTTTGTGTCTACTTCAGAGCTATCTTGTAACTATCTCTTGCAGGTATATATGGTCATATTTCTATTTTAGTGCACTCATAATGGTGTGACTGAGGTGGAAGAGGGTGGAATAGAGAGGCAGAAAAGCTTTGGTTTTGAGGCAAAACAGAAGATTTGTTTGCTAATGACTTTTGAAACTACCTGGTTACATGGTAATGTCTTATATTGTGTGAGTGTACTGATTTTTCACTGAACTTTTATTTGTTTTTCTTCATGAGGAAATTTGTGAAGTAGATTGGGCTGTGTCTTAGTACCACGTAACCCATATATCATATTCACTGGGGAGTTATTAGTGATTGTAAGATGTAAGAAGGTAATGATTCTGCTGATATGTTTCATGGACAGATTTTATTAATGCCAGTTTCTGAGGGAATCTTGAATTTCTTTTATACTTTCTTCCATTTTCGCTTACTTCTGGCTTCAGAGTGTTGAAATCGTATCGGTATGTATAGTAAAGGATCATGACTGTGATTTGTTACCACTTCAGGCATCACACACATTCCTTATTTCCTTTCTGATCTTATTTGCAATCACTGTATTTCCTGCCCTTTTATCCAGTCAAATTTCAATGAACACCAGTGCATCATTAGGTGTTTGTAAAGTCTAGAGCCATGTGCTTGATCTTCATGTTGCAATTGTAACTTGAAATCCATTTGCATGTGAAATACGGACCCGTCTCTGTTTTCTCCTGTTGCCTGAAATTCCCTATAAGTAAACTTAAAAAGTAAATAAATTAAATAACTTTTTTTTTTTTAAGTGAGGAAGGAAAATTGTCTACCTCGCAGGATCCTTCTTGTAAATATGTAGTAGAAGAGAATACAGAGGTTGCAGAAGAGGTCCCTTCAGCTCTTCAGCCTACTAACAGCAGTCCAGAACAGAGGTAACTGCATTCAAGGATGCTTTCAAACCTCTAAATAGCAATTTGTTTGTTTTTTCTAATAGGATTGATCTAAACAGATTGAGTTTAGTTCAGTCTAAATGTGTACTTGCATCTGTTTTATTGAATTCTGTATTTTCTGTTGATTCTAAGACTCTTGATTCATCAAAATGTATTTGTCTTGCAGGGAGTTGTAAATATCCATATTCTGTTTTGTGACAATGTTATCAAGTTAGAATAGTGAATTGATATGCAGAACTCTGCTACATGTTCTGATTATACTGTATGCAGACTAAAAAAGATGTAAACATGTTTGAAAAATTTAAATTCTGGTTTTTTAGACTTGTTTATGAGCTAATATTTAATAAACTCCTTTCTACTAACTTTCTGCTCTGCGTAAATCTTGAACTTGATCAAGAAGTGAGTTCTAATCAGAAAAAGAACCCAACCCTGTATACTTAAAGTGGGAAACCAAAAATTCTTTCACAGCCTCTTCTGGAGGTACTGTCTTTATCAAGCCTATTTTTTAATGCATTAAATTATAGGGAAGAAGTCTTTGGGTACTGGGTGATTGCCTTTTGAGCAAAGATGCCCGTCTAAGCCAACAGAGGGCTCTCAGAGCTAGCAGTTTGTTGGATTGCTTTTGGCTTGCAGGAAGTCTCAAGCAACTCCTTTCATTGAATCCAGCTGGCTTCAGCAAAGCTCAGTACTTTCTCTAAAGGTGGCTGTCACAGTAGATCCTCATAAGCACAGTATAAATACCAAACACAGTTGTGCTTTTGGGGCTCCATGTATGTATGACTAGTGGAAGGCGTCCCCTAGCTGGGTCTCTGGCTGGTGGCTGGCAGGAGTAATCTCTGCTAGGAGCCCTATTCTGTCATGGACCAGTGACTGCCATGCAGACTGTCACACTTCCTGTCCGTGCAGCACTTGTTTCTTACCTTCCAGGTTTCTCTAAAGTGTTTTGCTTTTGTCTAGTGCTGTCTTTTCTCTAATATGTACATATGTTTTTTAAAAAGTGTTTTTATAGCTTAGCAGCCAAAGACTTAGCTAGGGGGCTCCTGCTGGTCATGTGCATGTAGAGCACGGACCCCAGAGTGGCTTCTCTGTGATGTCCACCATCAGAGAACAGGAGTTACAGGTAACTTTTCTCCTCTGTAGTTTCAAGCAGTATTTGCATTCTTTTAGGGAATCTTCAGATGTATTCTGTAGACTTGCACTGAATGAAAGTTGAAATTTTTTGCCTTTGTTGCTTGCATATTTTTAAAGTTCTCATACACTAATTTGATCTCTTTATGCTAGTCCAGAGCAATTGAGCCCACGTTTACACTAAACTTCTTTGTCTAGAAATGTATATATCGTTACTGTTTTCACTTCTGTAGGTTTGCTCCCTATTTTCCTCCATACTTCCTGAACTTTTCATCCTAATGGACTTACATTCAAAGTGTTTGTAAAATGACTGTTTGTAGATTAGATTAGTAACTAAAGCAGTTTTTTAAGATGCTGTTGTTTTTCCTGTTGTGTCTTAGCTGCTTACTTTCCAGTGTAACCTTAGATAACTCCTGGTATCACGTTTTGCCCCACAGATAACTCCTGGTATCATGTTTTGCCCCACAGATAACTCCTGGTATCACGTTTTGCCCCACAGATAACTCCTGGTATCATGTTTTGCCCCACAGATAACTCCTGGTATCACGTTTTGCCCCACAGATAACTCCTGGTATCACGTTTTGCCCCACAGATAACTCCTGGTATCACATTTTGCCCCACAGAATAAGATTTGGATAAGTATCAGAAATGTGCTTTTTATTAGTGATTCTCTTGGAGATATCTCATCTCTAGAGATTGCTTTCTATCCCTGTTAATGAAGATCAAACACTTCAGTGGTGTGCTCAGTTAATTGAGTGCTGTGCTTAATTAGGCAGTAAAGACTCCAGAAATGCTGGACTGCCGAAAATAAATGAGAGGAGGACATCATGAGCACGTTTCCTCTCTTCAGTTTGCGGGTTATGCTACACATGATCTGGGATTGCTTTTTGGTTTGGTTCTTATTGTGCCTACCTGAATTTGTTTTGAACCTGTCTGGTATACTTACATCATTTTTTGGCCTCTTAGGACTGATCAACACACCCATTTAGGAGAGGCATCTGTTAATGGCCCTGTATGATATGTGATGTCTGCTACCTTGGCTGAAGAGGAAGAACTGATGTCCAGGTGTTTAAGTGTTTCTTGAGGATTTCATCTAGACCCTGTTGAAGCCAGTCACTGCTGCACTAATTTCGCAAGGAATCAGGACCAGCAACATTTATATTCTAGATTTTAAGACATTGTACAGAAATTCATAAGTGTAAAAATATTGCACATTGAAAAATACCAATAATTTTTGCGTATGTTTATATTGTATTGTTCTAAATAACGGGGAGCCTGTGAAATAAGATCCTGCTACCCATGTAATGATGACAGTAGTGTTACTATAGTTAAAATGGCTGTAAGAATAGTTTTATAAAAAAAGTGAATACAAAAATCTAATGTATTTGAGACATAATTATTTGACGATTAGTGTGACCAAAGTATTTAGCAGTTTTCTTACATTTTTCACCTTGTAAAAAAGAAAAAGAAAATTCATGTTTTTTCTGAAACTGAAATGCCCTATAAATGTTATTTTGGTTGTTTTAGCTTACAAAAGTGATTTAAATAAGAATTTTTTGGTGTTCAACATTTTACAACAGGTTTTTTAATTGGTAATTGTTTTCTGTATTGTTCAAAACAGATCAAAAAATGTAAGTCTATTGGTAGAGATTTTAAGTATTTATTGCAACAGCTTAGTTGACAAATTGATGTTACTGTAAAGCCATATGTTCTGTTAAGTCTAGTTTGCTTGAAACAATACCTTACAGGTGAAACACTAGAATATTTGGAGTGCACATGGCTTGTTGTGTTTAAGTGGTTCACCTGCCTTTTAAACAGTTCACCAAGATTTAGTTTCAATACCAAGCATTATACAATGGAACATTTCAGAACAATCTGCGTATTTAAAACGCTATAATCCTTTTAGACAAGTCAAGTAAATGAAATGCCCGTGCTGCTAATGTAATTACAGTACATGCATTTTAAAAGTAAATAGTGTTTTTAATACAAATTTTGGCAGCAGAGCATGTTAATTGTTAATTTCACTGTACTGATCTGTGTGAGGCTTTCATTTGTATGTTCTAAACCAGTTTTTTCACGGCTGGTTTGTGTATATATATAGTGATTATGGAAACTAATTCTGTGTAATTTATAATTTTCTATGTCAGTGTAAAATTCCAACAGCCTTCTCAAACAAACAGAAGCAATATACTGTATATTGCCACATTGTCTGGTGAAAGGGTTAAAATACTCCTGCACTTTCAGATGCAAATCCATTTTTTTTCTGTAATCATTTATTTTTTACATCATTTGTTTTCCTGACCAGTATTTAAAGCCAAAAGGATACTCTAAACAATGGCCAATGATTTATTTTAGAAGGCGTCCCGAGCAACGTGCCTAAACATTACATTGCATACAGAAATAAAAAAACCCACATGTATGTCATTGCCCTTATTGCTTTCTCTCTTGGATTTTCTGCAAAGTTCAATGCACTCGTCGTTGGAAATTCCTACGAACTGATCAGTTGTGTGAAAACTGAGGGGCAAACCCCACATTATCACAGGTGGACTTGGTAACTATGGTTGCCCTTTTATTTGTACTTCACTGGTGGAATCCAGTTAGTTTCTAAGTTGTTTCTTCTTCAGTTCGGAATTACTTCCAGATCAGCTTGACCAAAATCATTTTGTATGTTAGCTCTAAGGTTGGCAGCTGTTCTCTTGTTACATTCTGATCTGTTACTAAACAAGTGGTTTTGGAAACAAAATGCTCATTTCAACACATGAATTGCAGTCAAATAGAAATTTCAAATACTGGCGAGCAACAGGTTGGTTTATGTGAGTTTGATACTTTCAAGGCGTAAAACTTTTGTCCTTTCCAATGAAGCTCTTTGTCCCTTGCTAACAGGTTGATTTATCTAGTTTTACATAGCCATGAAAACTGGAGAACATAGTAGTTGAAATTGAATTTCAGCCCTGTTGCCTGCAGTTCAGTCTTCTATTGTTTGTCCTTCTGTTAATCAACTGTCATATCAGTCTTCTGTCCAGTTCATACTGAGCTCAGAAATTGAAAAAGGGGAATATTTTGCATCCCACTCCATTTATGAGTTGAGTGGAGGTGTGGGAAGAGTGGAATTCACTTCATTGTAGTTTGCTGTCTAACTAAAGGGCGCATTAGAGACAAACTAGGTTGGCTTACCTATAGCTGATTTGAGGGTTCTTTCCTACTGTTGCATTTATTGTTCATTTTTACAGCTTCTGTGGGAGGTGAGATTTGAGGTAGTGGGAGCTTGTTTTGAGGAAGTGCAGAGTGCGTTTTACCCACTACCTGCATCGCTTGTACAAGGAATCCTGAACTTGAAGGGAAAGCTTTGGAGGTGTGTTTGGCGGGGGGAAGGGGCTTTGTGGGTGTGTGTACACACACAGGCACATGCACCCTTTTGCCATCTTTTATCAGTGCTGCTGTTGATATGCTGCTCACGTGGCCTTACGGAGGTTTGAGCGTACTGGGAGAACCCTTGGGAAAGGCTGTTACCCAACCTGTTTAAATCAAGTTTGACTTGCATGCAATGGAATTTGAGTCTTCTTTATGTAAAGGTATTTTAGTGCATTTGCAACATGGACTAAAGTGTAATACCTTCATACAGGTTTGAGTTCCTAGAGTGTATTTAGCAGCAATTGGTGTGAAATAAGTTTATTTTGAAGGGCTTGCACACTGCCACATTCCACAGTGCTCTTCTAAATGGCTGAAAGCTCAGTCACTTGAAACTGAGGAATAGTGATATCAGTTGATATCAAAGGGCAATGGATTTAACCCTCAGGACCTCTCTGATAAAGGACTTTCACTCAAACAGGAGTATGTTTTGAAAGTGGCTAGACCAGTAAAATATGCAGTAGCTCATTGCCTCTTCACACCTGGCAGAGTGGATGAATCATGTCTTTTTGACCAGCTAAGCGTTATTTTTAAGTATAAGCCCTCTACTAGATTTATAGCAAGATTGTTCCATTTAAGTAAAAGCATAAGCCATCATCTAGACTAGGATTGCTGTTAATTAAGCAAGCATTCCCCCTGTTCAGTGAGTTGACAGGCAGTCACAGCAGGGTAGTTAAAACAATCTCATGTCATTGCACATGCAATCCAGTGTGACCATGCTCTTGAGTGAAGTCTTCATTTTTGCACCTATTAAGCCTTGTATCTACCTCTTGAAAACAGTGAGTTCTGTATTGTCATCCACATACTTTGTGGAAACTTATTGTGACATTCATTCTTTGTGTGTGAAATCCACTGAGGAGTTACGAAAGATTTGTGAGGAAGACGAATCAGGTTTTACTGTCATTCATTATAAACTTACTTTCCTGTTTAAATTGGCATTAATATCCTTGGAGATTATTTTGTTTTCTGACATATGTCTTATACAGTTATATCAGGAAGTATTTACTGTATATAACTGGCTCTATTAATAGACTTAATCACTTCTGACTGTCTCAGAATAAATAGTGCTTTTTCGAGTGTAGTATAAGTGTTTTTTTGAGTTTCATTATAAAAGTGTCTTGATTGTTTCCCAAACCATGGTGGAAAATAGCAGTTATTGCAGCAGCAACATGCCTTTTTTTGGTAAAGTTTTTAATGTTTGTCTTTTACTTTCTACATCTTACTTGCTAACAGGTAAGGATTTGGCATCCTTCTGTTTCATTATTGTTTGAATATATACAGTTACAACATGGAGGGAAACTAAGGCAATAAAATTTAAAACCAATATATTCTTGGCCTAAAAACAGAGGCAGCTTCCTGTCTGCTTTAGCTAGGACAGTGCACAAAAATTTTTGAACTTGCTCAGACCTTGCTTGGCTGTTTGTTTCAGATTGTTCCAAGCGTGTGATTTGCCCTGTGTTTAGTCTTGTGTATAATCACACTTCTCCTGATGATATTGCAGGGAAATGTGTGCTGCTTATTCTTCTACCACAAACTGAAGCAATAATGAGACCTGAACTTTACCTTGTGTTTTGCTAGTAGTATCTTTCAGAATGTCTGTCTTAGATGAGTCTGGGCTTAGTGTTTGCATATTTTTTTTGATTGGAGAGGGGAACTTTTTCTGTATTTTTATCTTCTCTAAATCAGTAAGTACCTTACAAAATGGGTTAGGATTCTCTTTAGTTTATCTTTCTGGCCATAGCTTAAATGCTGTAATTCATTTTCTAGGGCTTTCTTCAGAAGGAGTGTTCTCTCTGCTCACTCTGAATCTCAGAGTTGTGTGTGGTGTGGGTGCTTTCCTGTGAGCTGTGTTCTCTGTGTCTCAAAACAATAATTCTGAAGACTGATTGTTGGCATACAGCCATCCAGAGTAAGAAAACTAAATCTTGTCTAGCTGTGGCTGAGTGGATTTTTGTCACTCATGTCTCATGAGATTCAGCTTGCCCATTTGCACAGGGAAAGTTTATCTGTTTGTCTCACTGCTTTGATCTGTGTATGATAATTAGGTAGATTGGTGATTTATTCTAAAGGGAGGCATACTGTGTTTTTCCAGATGGAATCTGGACCTGTTACGTGTCTGTCAGGTCTGCTTTTGAACTCCATTGTGTGCTGCTCTTCCTATATTTTTTAACTGGTGGGTTGCTTCCATCCCCCTGTCTGCACCAATCATCTGTCTTAGGTTGTCACAGTTTCACCTTGGGTAATACACTAACCGTGTTCTTTTGCCAGGACACCGCATACATTGCAAATAAAACCTGCTTTTCCTTTCTTTGCAATATTTTTGAATGAAAGATATAAGAAGTTGACTGTCTTCTACTGATTATCAGCCAGAGGTACAAGATTGCGGAGATAAGCGTCCTGATTCTGCTAAAACTCAAGTGACCTTGTTACTTTTCTTGTTGGGAGTTCTCCACAGTACCTTTTCTCCTATATCTTTATAGAAATAGTTCTTAATGCTGCTTTTGTTAAAAAGGGGTTGTTCTTCTGTAGTCACTGCTAAACTATCCTGAAGTACACTTGCAGGTGAGCAGGACTCTGCTTCGGAGTGAGCCATATTGAGGGAGTGCATATTGATGAGGAAAGGTAGTAACCAGGAACTGCAAGATATTTGTGGGATTCTGAGGTCCTGTTGTTTCTCTGTAGTCCCTTCAGAATGAAGTAGCTTGAAAAGGTAGAAGGGCAGACTGAGGAAGTGTGACACTTTCTTTTGAATGCTGGTACTGTGCATGTCTGGTTTGAAGTACTTGGGAAGTGGTGGGTGACTTCCGGATAACTAAATTGTTTCAGGTGTTAGTTACATGGTTCATATGTAATCCATACTGATTGCTGTGTCCAAGCACTTAACACAATCTGTAACTAAACTATGAATTATATAGATTCCCACCTGTGTGTGTACACAGCAATGTGTAGGGTATATTCTCTTAACGTGGCTAGCTGCAGTGCCCATGGGGCTTTTCCTAAGTGCACTGAACTGTAGAATACCAGGAAGAAGAAAGAGATACTTGTGCATATGGTACAGCCCATTCTGAAGCATTTCAGGCTCCTGTCTCTGCAAGTGTAGACACTGTCAGTGGCCTCTGGCCAGGCTAAATGTATCTTGATGGAAACCAGTTTACCTTTGGTTTCTGAGGCAAAATTCAGCTTTTGTCAAGATGATTTCTCTGATTTTCTGATAGTCCAGCTGCTTGATATATTTGAGCCTTTTTGCTACCATGTTTACAGCTTCTCAGGCAAGAATTTATATTTGTCATCATTGAATCACTACTGTCCAGTCCAGCCAAAAATGTAAGCCAAAGTGTAAGCTTGTACTGGTGCTGTTAATCTGTTCTTTATACTACATTAAATTCTTCGTGAGACAATGGTGAGGTCTATCTGCTTCAGCAACTGTCACCAGTACTGTCATTGAGAACACTCACAGGTTCACTGCAGCTTTGCATCTGGTGTTGCCCAGGTGTAAACCATCATAACACCCTGAGTGATAAAGGTAGGGTCTCTTGGCTGTGGTGGAACAAGGAGTGGCCTAATGCATCCTGAAAACAGTCCAAAGGAAATAAATTCACCTGAGTGGTTACCTGCTACTCATCAGGAGCTTCCTGGTCTCTGCTGGAGGAGCAAGTTGCCCTTGTCTTTGCATTAAGTTGAGAGAACAGTGACTATAGATGGGCATGCAGGACCTGTCCCCAGCCATCCCAGTGTCACCTGAACAGGCTGCACCTGCACAGAAAGGGCTTGGCAGATGACCCAGCTCTGAAGTGTTCTTTGTATGGTAAGGCATATCCAAGTGGGAGTCTCCAGTTACGATCTGGAATGGAGTAACTCAGAAAAGGACTTCCATGGTAAAACTAGGTACAGGTCAGTGGTTATGTTAAGCTGTAATTTGCACATGTGGGTGCTTAGTGCTCCTCCATTTGAGCTATTCTCCAACGTCCTTTTCTGTCATATGAGGAAGTATGGACTAGGTGCTAAATGACTAACCTGTTCCTTCA